CTCTAAAGGCTGATTTATACTTCTGCGTCAAACGCCGGCGTATGCTACGGCGCTGACGCATAGCCCTTCGCCGTGGCCGTCAGCGTGGCTGAGGTGCTCCTCTCAAAAATTGTAACTACACGTCGCAACGACGCGTAGCGCAAGCTCTGTGATTGGTCGGCTTTGTAGCGCTGACGAGTCCGGGCGGGCGGAGAGCCGCGCGAATGGCGCGAGTGATTGTTTACAAGTGTGGAGTATCGTGAAGGAGCTCCGGATGGAAAGTTTTGTTTTGTGTTTACCTCATAGTTAAAGTTGTTGCACGTCCGCCGGTTCCTGCCTTAAAATGAGCGAGTTTGAGTCACTTGTACAACCAGGAAGTGTTCAGGAAAAGCAAAACAGAAGCAAAGAAGCTCGACACAGAGGAACATTTACACCTCACTGCCAACTAGCGTTTCGGAAGTGTTAATGCAGACCAACAGTGACAGCGCGCAGAAGTATAAATGCACAGCTACGCGCGTTGCATGCGCCGTGAGTTACGCTGGTCACTTGACGCAGAAGTATAAACCAGGCTTAAGGGTAAGTAAATCATCTTCTACATCATCTAACCACCTCTTCCGTGGCCTACCAGGTAGTTTCCTTCCTTCTAGTTCTTCTGTTTGGGGAGTTTTTCTAAATGGCCCAGCCATCTTATACGGTTCCTCTTTACTTCTGTGACCAGGCTTGGCTTCGCATACATGTCTGCCACTTCTGCATTAATCTTTATGCGCCATTCACCTTGGTCACTCTTCGGTCCATAAATCCTCCTTAGGATCTTCCTCTCCCATGCGTTAAGAAGCAGTACGTCCCGAGTTCTCAATACCCACGTTTCACTCGCATACATTACCACTGGCCGCAGTACTGTATGGTAGAGTCCTTGCTTGCTCAGCTCAGCAGACGAGATTTAATGAGGTGCTGCATGCTGTAGTATGCCTTGTTTCCTGCCTTCAACCTCTCTTTTATTTCCTCTGTTTTTGTTGCAGTCTGTCAGCAGAGATCCCAGATATTTAAAATTAGGAACACGATTAAAGAAGTGCATTCCTACCTGCAAGGGTTCCGTTGTGGCGCACTGAGACCTTGACATGAGCATATATTTTGTCTTGTTCGTATTCACATGTAGGCCTGCCCGATGTGATTCTCTTTCTAGCTGTATGAAGCTTTCTTTCAGTTCTTTTTCCCTCCTGCTGAGTAGGTCTACATCATCTGCATTAGCCAGATACACTGCACTGTACCTCCAGGGTTCCCATCTATTTGTCGGACTATTTTCTCCAGTGCTAGATTAAACCGGGTACAGGAAAGTGCATTACCCAGTCTTAGACCTCTATTGATTCCAAAATCCTGAACGTGTTCATCAGCTATCATCACTTTCCCTGCTGTCTCTCTGAGTGTCAACCCTTCTCTGCATACCAGAACTGAACAACTAGGTGCAACTTCAATATATTTCACGACTTCTACAAGCATCATGCTCCTTGTGCCATGTCTAGACTTCTTAATAGACAGCAGTCTGGAACAAGGGCCCCCGCACTATATATATTCTTATTCTGCTATTTCCTTCTTGTCAGCAGTTCCTTCTAAAAAGTATGCAGCACAGTAAAAAAGTAGTAGTGCGTTTGGTCAATATATGGTGTCATACAAAAGATGGATTAATCTGTTGTTAGTCTAAACATTTTTGTAATGAAAAATAGACGCCAAGTAATTAAAATAATTTCTTTTTCCTACAATCTTAACATCAAGCTTAATATTAATGAGCACCTAGTGTTATGGATGAAGGATTTTTTTTAACTGATCGTCCTCAAAGAATGTCTGTACAGGGTTCAATATCTGAAGAGGTTGTTTTGAACACTGGAGTACCCCAAGGCTGTGTAATATCACCTGCATTATTTTTAATGTATGTAGGGGTGCTTTCACACCTAGACGTTTGTTTCGTAACCTGTGTCGTTTGCCCAGTTAGCGCGGTTCGTTTGGCATATGTGAATCCAGCAATCGTGCTCGGATCCGCGGCAAAACAATCGGTCCGAGATCGCCTGAATGAGGTGGTCTCGGCTCAAACAAACTCTGGAGAGGATCAGTTGTAGTGAGAAAGCGATTATGATATGAGCCTGGTTATATACGAACCCGGCATTTTATGGATATGTAATAGGCATACGGCTATATGAAGAGAGAATTATGAGTAGGGTTGGAGGTCATTCCAGACATCCCAAGTCTCCTGTAAGTTGAGGGAGTTTCCCGCAAATGCACAGAGACTCCCGGATGCCCGCAAACGAGTGCTAATCTCCCGGTAATCGCGCGTCCCCCTCCCTGTCCTTAAATACGTTGCGCACCCTTCTTACCCCTTCCCATCGCATCCCTCCTTGCTCTTCAGACATGTCGCGCGCACCCTGTCAAACCCCCTTTGATATTTGGGTACTATTTTAGATAGTGGCTTAAATTTTGGTGAACATGCAGATTAAATCTATAAGAACGCAACACAGAGACTCTTTCTTTTAAAGAAGTTAAATAGTTTTAATGTTAGTGAGGGTGTTCTGAGGAAGGTTTATACCAGTCTGGTTGAATGTATTATCTCCTATAATATTTCTTGCTGGTACGACATCTAAACTTGCAAAGATCGTTAAGACTGCTAGTAAGATCATAATAGACCCCCAGAAGCAACTTGTGGAACTGTATATAAACCAGACCAGACGGAAAGCCTCACAGATAGTTCAGGACTCAACTCTTCCTCTTCATTGTGAATTTGAAAAGCATCCTTCTGGAAGACCATATAGAGAACCTACAGCAAAAACAAATATTTTAAAGAAATCTTTTACATCGTCTGCTATTAGTGTATTGAATAATTGACCATGATGTAGATTGCATGTTTAAGGTTGTGTGTTGGTAATCTGTGCTGTAGGAAGTGCTTAGTGTTTTGTATTTGGGATGTTTGGGAGGCCAAAAATGTATTTCCACTCGTGTGGACAATAAAGTTTTCTGTTCTGTCTTCAAACACAAATGAGGATGATGTTTTCCATGAAATCCGAGAGCTCTCTAATGTTCAAAGTCCAGATTAGGTATCGTTACTCTTTATAGGACAGATAGTGTTAGCCTATTATAATGGGCTGACATCGACTTCAAATGTGTTGTTAATGTGTCTCCCACATGTCCAGTCAGAACTAATCCTTAAATGACGCCCATGCTTAATCAACTGTCAAGAAGATGCGTCACTTGTTGTTTTCTTTATACAGTAGCATTACTCAGAGCTGTAGTTCAATGACAAGCTATGCGAAACACTTTACACTTTTAAGAAAAGACTATCACTGTGTCTGAAATCGCCTACTATAATAAAGACCAGCCAATCATCATTAGTTATGTGGTTGTCCCACTCCTACACTGGCACTGTGTCTGAAATCACCTACTGGAGTATGTACCACATTTGAATTCACTATACAACAGTTTCACAAATAATGTTTAACAGAGCAGGGAAATATTCACAGTATGTATTATAATATTTCTTCCTCTGGAGAAAGTCTTATTTGTTTTATTTCGGCTACAATAAAAGCAGATCTTAATTTTTTAAAACCATTTTAAGGTCAAAATTATTAGCCCCTTTAAGCATTTATTTTCCTGAAAGACTACAGAACAAACCATCATTGTACAAATACTTGCCTAATTACCCTAACCTGCTTAGGTAACCTAATTGTTGAGCCTTTAAATGTCACTTTAAGCTATGTAGAAGTGTCTTGAAGAATATCTAGTCTAATATTATTTACTGTCATCATGGTAAAGAGAAAATAAATCAGTTATTAGATATGAGCTATTAAAACTATTATGTTTAGAAATGTGTTTAAAAAAAATCTCTCCGTAAAACAGAAATTAGGGAAAAAATAATCAGGGAGGCTAATAATTCAGGAGGGCTAATAACTCTGACTTTAGCTGTGTATGTAACAGTGCTTCCCACACATAGATTTTACTTAGGCAAGGTCACCCAGGTATATTAACAGCCGCCCAAGTATATTTGGTGACATTTTTTTTTACTATTAAAATTCTTTTACAGTTTTTTTTTGTATGCACCCAATAGCCAAAAATCCAATATCGATTAACTCGCTGGAAAAAAAACCTTACACATTTTGTACTGCTTATTGTATTTGCGTAAGAAATGACAACATTTTGACAATCTCACAATTTCTGCAGAGACCCAGAGAGACGCGCTTTTTTGGGAATTAAAAAATGCATCCGTCCGTGGTTTCTAAATCTCGCTTTTGGTTTCACTTTCTAAAGACATTGTTAATTATGTGTTTATGCATTACATTTTTACTTTAAGCCTGAAGTACATTTGTTTGGCTTCGCAGCTGACAAAGCCTGCAGCTGCAAGAGCAAAATATTAAATAACTCTGGTAAACTTTTCTTTATACTCAGATTGAACAATATTACATCTAAACTGGCTCAAAAATTTTTGCACACCGTAAGAAATGGTTAATTAACTTATTTGCCTTATTTAAATAATCTACACTTTTTATGCTTGTAATATATTTTTAGAGATATGGTCTGTTTTTATTTCTTTGTCATTTATTTCTCATTTGCTCTATATATTTTTTATTTAATTATGTTGATATATTATATATTTTAAAATATCTAACATTCTTTTGGCAAAACTACAAAATATCAGCAGTAGAATTTACTTTGATGTTTTTTTTCATCAGTCTTTAAAAAAAACTTCAACCCATTGAAAAGAAACTGTATAACAGTGTCATAATAATAAATATTTGTCGAATGTAGGTAACAATGTGCCATGTAAAAGGTGTTTCTATACAGTTACCTGTGGGAAGTATATATATATATATATATATATATATATATATATATATATATATATATATATATATATATATATATATATATATGAATTTACTAATGCATAGCATATTCATTACCTGTGATTAATTCTGCACCGGTTTGGGAAAGAGAGCCTTTATGCTTTTGAAGGGTCTAATAAACAGTAGTTCACCTCCAGATGATTGAAATGGAAACGGCTTTTTTCTTCACATTGGCAATTGTTTTAGCAGCAGTGTTTTAATTTGGCACGTTTTTGACGATACTCCGTTGCGGCCGTGATGACGTCAGCAGCACTGACGCGGTCATCCAGCGTCGAGTCTTCAGAGCTGAGGTGAGTCGTTGACGCTTTTTCTCGTGTTTACACAACAATAAAACACACTTTACAGTTTATTAAAGCGACAATCTGCGACTAGTTTCTGCATTGAGTTCACCTCTATCTGTGTGTCTGCTGACCACAACAATACAGCAGGCAGAGAGGAGCTCTGAGAGGACAATCTCAGTGTTTATGCTTGTTCTGTAACAGTTACAGGCTAAATGCGTTTGTTTTGATGGTTTGGAGTAATGTTATCGGAATGTTATACATGATCTGTGAATATAATGGAATTTTAAAATGTCAAATATGTGAAACTAAATGCTTATCTACAGTTGAAGTCAGAATTATTCGCCCCCCTTTGATTTTTTTCTTTTTTTAAATATTCCCCAAATGATGTTTTACAGAGCAAGGAAATTTTCACAGTATGTCTGATAATATTTTTTCTTCTGGATAAAGTTTTATTGGTTTTATTTTGGCTAGAATAAAAGCTGTTTTTAAAATTTTAAACACCATTTTTAGGACAAAATTATTAGCCCCTTCAGGCTAATGTTTTTCCTCTACTGTCTACAGAACAAGCCATCGTTATACAATAACTTGCCTAATTACCCTAACCTGCCTAGTTACCCTAATTAACCTATTTAAGCCTTTAAATGTCACTTTAAGCTGTATAGAAGTGTCTTGAAGAATATCTAGTCAAATATTATTTACTGTCATCATGACAAAGATAAAATAAATCAGTTATTAGAGATGAGTTATTAAAACTATTATGATTAGAAATGTGTTGAAAATATTTCCCTCCGTTAAACAGAAATTGGGGGAAAAAATAAACGGGGGGCTAATAATTCTTTAACTGTGTGTGTGTGTGTGTGTGTATATATATATATATATATATATATATATATATATATATATATATATTTAGTGTGTGTGTGTGTTTCTATACATAAAGCAGTTGGTAAAACAGATTAGTTAGTTTAATTGTGTTGTAATGTTTTTAGTTCTGGTGAAATATTTTTGTTGTTAGTTGTGTTTTTGCTTCATACTCAGGCCCGGATTGGCTAATCGGGAGGACCGAGAGAATTCCCGGTGGGCCGGTCCGTTATTTGACCGCGAGGGCCGGTGTCCCTAGCTCCAGAATCTGTTGCTCTCAGCAGTCACACTTTTTAAATTTCTTTCTTTATTTACTTGACCACAGTCTTCTCATTCATTATTTTACCGCAGCTCTGCTCTTTTTATATATAACCAGCCTGCAGGTTAATGATGATATAAGTCAGATGAGTCACTCCTCAATATTCAACTGTTGTGGTCCATTGGTTAGCACGTTAGATTACGACGCTGCTGACCCGGGTTTGATCCTTGTCTGAGTATGATTTAATTTTTTTTTTTTCATTTTTATTGTTAAGACATGTAATATGGTAAGGGTTGTTGAACATTTGAAGTTCTAAAGCAGCTGTTTTCTCAAAAAAAGACGTGATAGTGTCATTAGAAACTGAATTGTAATGACCTTATTTTAATATAGTCAGTCGTGAACTGAGGTGGGCCGGTCTGAGGCTTGAAACTCCAGGGCTGAAAAGTAGTCCCACTCCGGCCCTGTTCATACTGATGTCTTCAGGTCTACAAATTGAATTAATTGTGTTGGCATTAGCTTACCTGAGCAAATTATATTATCCCTTATTATACGTATTGTATCACCTACAAGATATAACACCATATAATTACTTATTTCAGTGTTAATTAATCAGATTCCTGTTTACTCTCTTCAGTTAAATCAGTGGAAGACAAAGACAGAGTTTATTGAAGGACAGCGAGAAGATGAGTGATCCAGAACCCTGCAGAATTAAACAGGAAGAGACTGAAGAGATAATAGGTTTGTGTTCATTCTGAAATTAGAAAATGATTTTTACAAAACGATGGCACTACTTTATACATATCAAAATAACTAGATTTAACTTTGATGTCATGCCAACTTTAAACTGAAGATAAAAACTATCCTCCTGAAATGTGACGTATTTAATTTTCAGATGTGATAGTGAAGGAGGAGAGTGAAGATGAGGAGAAACACCATGTCAGAAGTGAAGATGAAACTCCCGCAAGCACTGAACACAATATTTTAATGAAAAGAACAGCTGTAAAAAGTTTGATCTGCACTCAGTGTGGAAGGAGTTTTGATCGTAAATGCCACCTCGAGATTCACATGAGGATCCACACTGGAGAGAAACCGTACCAGTGTTCACACTGCGACAAGAGATTCAATCGTACAGGACACCTGAAAATACACGAGAGGATTCACACTGGAGAGAAACCGTATCACTGCACTGCTTGTGGGAAGAGTTTCACACAATCGTCTTCTCTACGAACACACACAAGAATCAATCACAGTAAGTAGATCATCCTAAGATCCAACCCTTACATGTCTTGTAGTTTAGGATGAGGATCACTGCGGAACGCATACTTAAAGAGGTCATATGATGCCGTCTCATGTTTTCATTTGGAGTGTGGCACATTTATTGTTAAGAGACCGACTCGATTAGAGAAACTTAACCTGACAGGCTTAGTAACACGTGTAACACACAGCCAATAGCAGATCTAATCCTTTAATAATGTTCATGCCTAAGTGACCATCAGGAAGATAAATCAATTATGTGGGTTATCAAGAGTTAATCAATTGTAGAGTAAACATTTGCATCCTTTCACGTTTGTCTATTAATTAAAACAGCTTAACACAGATAAAGAAAAGAAAAAAAGGTTGTGGAAACAGTCCAGCATATTTGTCAGACTAAATCAGGGGTGTCCAAACTCGGTCCTGGAGGGCCGGTGTCCTGCAAAGTTTAGTTCCAACTCCAATCAGAGAGACCTGGGCTAGCTGATCAAGCTCTTACTAGGTGCTCTAGAATTATCTGTGCAGGTGTGTTGAGGCAAGTTGGAACTAAAATCTGCAGGACACCGGCTCTCCAGGACCGAGTTTGGGCACCCCTGTTATAAATAATGTCTTAAGAAAAAGGCTTGAGAAAGTGACGTCTCCTGCATCTGCACAGCGCGACCTTTCTACAAAAAACTAATAATAATGGGACTATGTCTGCGCCAATAGCCTTGTGATTAGTGCGTCGACACATGGCACCGAGGTGTTCACAGCGACCCGAGTTCGATTCCCGACTCGAGATCCTTTGCCGACCCTTCCCCTATTTCTGCTCCCCATACTTTCCACTCTCTATATCTCCACTGTCCTGTCACAATAAAGGTGAACACCTCAAAAAATATTTATGAAATAATAAAATTAATAATAATAATAATGAGTTTAAACAAAACAAATAAGGTTATAACTTTTAGTTTGTTTCGTCTTGGTCAAGGAAAACGAATGCATTTTGGTGTTGTTTTTATTGGTCAACAATATTGCATTTTATTTTTATTTATAGTCATCGTCACATGAACAGCATTTACATCTCATCTTGTTTTCGTCGCGTGAAAAAGGTTTATGGACGATGATAATTAGTAAGGCGTCACAATATATCCTTTCAGCATCGATATCGCAATGTGATCATTTGTGTTCTTAACTTCGATTTATTTTGTTGAATTATTTTTATTGTTATCATTTAGATATTGTTTTTCGAATACTGTTAGACCTGGGAAAAGATAAAACACTTTATTTCAGTTGCGTCTTTTTCTTGATTATATTTATTGATTGTTATGCAGGAAAATACAACACATGCCAATACAAAAGTGCACTGCAAATGGCACAGATCACAACGAAAATGTGTCGGGGGACCCCAAAAATAATAAAGATTTGTTTATTAGATTTTATGGAGAAGCACTCCCATTGCAGAATCATCCCAATCTAACATTCTGCATTCTTTCCAGACAGAGACATTAAGTCATCTTGTGAAATTGTATTTATATCGCAGTATATATCGCAAAATAAAAAACAAAGTAACTTATTTTCCTATATCATGCAGCCCTAATAATTAGTGATCATTTTCATTGACAAATGTAACAGTATGTGGGAGAGAGAGAGAGGCTATGAGAGAGAGGCTGCACATCAGAGCAGAGCTCATTAGTATTCATGACCATTCCAAATAAGGTCAATAAGGATATTCCGATTCGAGGGGTATTTTATGGGGTAATTAAATTATTATATAAAACAATTTCTGCTGATTTTTTAAACTTACCCAAGGCACATACATGCTATCATCGAGAATTGACGCAAACAACTGTCAAATCACTTAACGAATTTCTTTGATTTCATAATTGTGCAGAACACTAGTAAATGCAGCAAGTTTTACTGCTAACGTGAGCATGAAACTCACCTTCGATTAATCAAGCACACCTGTCACTCAGTACTAAGAAATTGAAGCCTGTTTCTTTTCTGACATTCAACAGCACATCAAGACGTTTTCTCCAGGAATAGAGCGAAGTTGCTAGCAGACATCATTAAAGGCTGATTGGCCATGTGCTGTTTTGGCAGTGAGATCTGGAAAGATAGATATTGTCATGTCACCAACACTGACCTGTTTTATCTCACGTGCGCGCCTTAATACTTCAACACAGTCCAAATAATAATACAGCCTTGCCACAATAGCTCATGGTCGCTGCCCAGGTCTGGGTTTTGGCTGCAATGTGCGATGCGATGTGTCAATTAGGATGTCCTTATCCATGTTGAGTACATGCTTAATTAGCTTGGAGACCGCCACAGTAGTAGAAAATTGGTCTTCCGGAACACCAATAAATCCGACAAGATCTCTTCTAGTTTTATCATAAAGCTGAAAGACAGTCAACTTTTTCATGTAGCACAGTGATATCATTCAACATGCGGAAAGAGAATGTTCCATACCCTTCACTGTACTTTTCAGTGTCGACATTTCAGTTTGCGAACAATACCATCATGTTAGAAAATTCCGCCTTCAAGGCTTCAAGTTCGCCTAGCCAGGACCTATTTCGGAGCGAAATATTTCTGCCAGATCCCGGCGTAGTGATGAAATTATTTCCGTTTTAAGAGTCTGAATGTTGCCTGAAGCCGTATCGAGCTCAGTCCGTTGACCCTCCGCAGCCAATTCACATTCATCCGAGGATGCGTTAGCTGTATCCCCTTTATTGCCTTTACGTTATCATCTTCGTTGTACAGGATTAGTTTAGATTGAACTCGGGCACAATTATCTGCAGGCACTTGATAAAAAGTAAAAATGTGCATTATTTTAGAAAAAATGGCAAATTCTGCAGGACTTCCTCATACCTGTCAACATCGGGATGTGAAAATAAGGGATAAAATAAGAAAAATAACGGAAAAAAAAAAAATAGTATACATTAGCAGCGAATACATTAAACAGTTTACTCATTACAATAAACAGCAATTATATTAAAATAGAATCAAGTTATGAAATTTCATCAGCCGTTTCTTCACTTTGTAACAAACACATTCTGATTAAAGAGCAACGAACGAATCTCTTATTTATTTAGATTTTTTTTTTGTTTGATTACATTAAATAACAGAGGTGTCACTTTAAAAAGGCACACATCTAATGTTATAATTAAAGCATTCGACTGCTTTCCTAACTGTTTATGCTCATTTAGAACAAAATTAGTTGTGTTTGAAAAAAACCCCACCAAGATCGACATCTTTAGATCTTATTATTATTAATTATGTGTTTATATCAGTTTAAACACGCACCCAAAACCCAGACCTTCGCTTCGTGTGTACAGAATCTGTTTGGGAAACAGCATCTATTTATCACTATGAAGCACGTCAGCTGACAGTCACGCACCGCTATATGACTATATGTTTTGAGGATTGCATAGGAGGGGTGACGGCACCTGTAATGAAAAGGAAAGGGAATCCTGCCGTTTTAATATTCATTTCAAAGTGTTTTCATGCCTAAACAAAGCGAAAGCACAGAACAGACTCACATTTAAGAGCAAGGGGCGCCCCCTTGTGGTTCGGCGGTATGGGTTGCGTATAGGGAGGCTCAGCTCTTTAATGTTTATTTGCCTTTTTTTAGAGAAAGACTGAAAATACGAGAGAAATACTGGAAAATACCTTCACTGGATGATAGCAGGATAGAACTGTAAAATACGAAAGAATCCCAGGAAAAACCGGAGGGTTGCCAGGTATGCCTCCTAGCGAACACGTCCTACCCCATAGCTGAACTAACCAGAATTTCTCAAGGTGTTTTCTGAGTAGGACTCGATAAGATCGATGACCTGATAAGAGAATTCATGCCATGTAGTTTGAAGTTGTGAATGCGTAACGCACAGCCTATAGCAGAACGAATCCTCTTATGATGTTCATCACTGATTGTTTTATCTTACTAATTTACAGATGTGACTGTGAAAGAGGAGGAGAACGAAGAACCGATTGTAGCCGTGAAGGTCCGTACAAAGGGGAAACTTCATTCATGCTCTTTGTGTGGAAAGAGTTTTACACATAAACAAAGTTTAAGGGAACATGAGAGGATCCACACTGGGGAGAAACCATTCCCGTGTACTTGGTGTGGGAAAACCTTCAGAAAACCATCATCCCTTAATCAACACGTGAAGATCCACACTGGAGAGAGACCACACACATGTGATCGATGCGGTAAAACATTCTCAAGGCTGTCTCATCTGAAGATCCATCTTATAGTTCACACAAACGAGAAGCCTTATTCATGCTCTGTGTGTGGAAAGAGTTTTACACAGCAGGGGTATTTAAAAGCACATCAGAAGCACCACGGCGATGTGAAAGAGTTTGTGTGCTTCGTGTGCAAGAAGACTTTTATCAGAGCTGGAGACTTGAAACAGCACGAGAGGATTCACACTGGAGAGAAACCGTACACATGTGCTCTGTGTGGGAAGAGTTTCGCACAATTATCATACCTTAGTACACACAAGAAGATCCACACTGGAGAGAGAACGCACAAATGTGATCAATGCGGTAAAACTTTTTTGAGGGCTACACAGCTGAAGATTCATCTTAAGGTTCATTTATAGGAGAAGCTTTAGTCCTGTTCTTTAACATTGGGGTCAGTTTGACCCCACTGAATGTTTACAACCAGTAAATACAAGCTTGACATCATTTGCTTTAAACTTAATGACTTTTTTTTTGTTAATTTCATGTTGACAACACTGTAAATATAAAATTAACATGGCATTATTTGTTTAATATCCTGTACTCTTTTTGTAACCAGGATGATCCTAAGGCAGTGGTCACCAAACTTGTTCCTGGAGGTCTGGTGTCCTGCAGATTTTAGCTCCAACCCTAATCAATCACACCTGAACAAGCTAATCAAGCTCTTACTAGGTGTACTTGAAAAATCGAGGCAGGTGTGTTGAGGCAAGTTGGAGCTAAACCCTACAGCAGGGGTGTCAAACTGAATTCCAGGAGGGCCAAAGCCCTGCACAGTTTAGTTCCAACCCTGCTCCAACACACTTACCTGTAGGTTTTAAACAAGCCTGAAGGACTCAATTAGTTTGATCAGGTGTTTTTAATTAGGGTTGGAACTAAACTGTGCAGAGCTGCAGCCCTTTTGGAACTGAGTTTGACACCTGTGCCCTACAGGGACACCGATCCTCCAGGACCGAGATTGGTGACCCGTGTCCTAAGGCGTCGATTTGACCCCAGGCTGTTTCAGCTGTATTAAACATAGTATAGCGGTGGGCAAACTCGGTCCTGGAGGGCCGGTGTCCTGAATAGTTTAGCTCCAACACTAATCAATGAATTTGAGTTAACGGTTGATGGGTCAGCCGCAGGTGCGTAATCTTGGTGTTCTCCTGGACTCCCAGCTTAGTCTCAAGCCTCATTTTAAACTTGTAACTAAATCAGCCTTTTATCATCTTCGAAATATAGCGCGCTTACATCCTTTCCTCTCGAGGCCTGACACTGAAAGACTTGTCCATGCTTTTATCACGTCTCGCTTGGATTTTTGCTATTCTCTGTTCGGAGGGCTACCAGCTAATACTCTCAAGATTTTACAATACATCCAAAATTCTGCTGCGCGGGTTTTGACACGTACATCATCTCAGTCTCGCATCACTCCTATACTCCAACAGCTGGCTGCCTGTCAAGTCTCGAATTAATTTTAAGACATTGATTTTTTAACATGTAAAGCGGTTCAGGGTTCCGCTCCATGTTACATTTGTGAACTGATATCCATTTCCCCTGCATCTCATGGGAGGCAGGGCGTTCTCTTTCCGTGCCCCCAAACTGTGGAATACTCTTCCCACCAACATTAGGAATGCTGGTTCTTTGGACGGTTTTAAGAAGCTACTTAGAACTCCTCTTTTAAGGACTGTTTTTTGATTTGTGATATCTTTTATTCTTACTGTGTTGTTTTACTGTGCATTGTTGTTTTTACTTTCCTGTAAGCGCTTTGCGTTTTAGAATTTAAATTATATTTACATTATGAATAATATATATTATTATTATTGTTATTAAACACACCTGAACATGCTAATCAGTGTCTTTGAGATCACTAGAAATCTTAAAGCAGGTGTGTTTGATTAGAGTTGGAGCTAAACTCTGCCGGACACCGGCCCTCCAGGAACGAGTTTGCCCACCCCTGGTGTAAGAGCTGAAGTTAACACACATTTGTATGGGGTCACTATAATGTGCTATATTTTATAACATTCACTAAAATATAATATATTTAGTATAATAATAATAATAGTATTGTGAGAACCTGGGGCAAACTGGCCATCAGGCAGACCGGGCAGTTTCCCACTGGGCCGACGTACTTTTTGGGCCGGGCTGATCATCTTTTAATGATCTGAGTGGCCCATAAAACACTCAGCAGACTGACGTTTTTTGTGCGTAAATAATTAACGATGCTGTGATCTGCGACGCTCTGAAAGTAAGATGTTTCTTTTTCGGATAGACCGGCCCCTTTGACATAATCTACAGCCCATTGGTTCTTTTCTTTATTGACAATGGGCTGACCCAATTACAAGCTCCCATTTTTGGGCTCTGTGTTAGCGTGCAACATCGGTGTGTATTTGTCAAAATAGTCGAGTCACACCTGTTTCACACCCAGTGTTGCCAGATTGGGCGATTTTTGAACATGATTGTGCGGGTGTAAACTGACATAGGCGGGTCTAGAAAAATTGGGTCTAGGTTTTGAAATGTAGTGCCCACCCCCTGTCATGTGTTCTTGAGGCCGTCAACATCCTTCGTTGACCGATCAACGTGATTTCCAGATGACTGGACGGGTGTTTTTGCATTTCGACGGGTTTTGGATAGTTTTTGGGGTGGAATCAGTCAGCTACATCTGGCAACACCGTTCACACCACACATGTGCGTGTGGAGAACAGAAGTAGCGCACAGGCGTTTGTCTTTTTTTTTGCCTTTTGCAGGCAGTTTTTGTTATGTTCATTATTTAATATAGGCTCCCTCAAAACACACAGGCAGACACAAGATGGACTTCCAGTGTGTATTAGAGTTTTATTATAATAATTAATTACATTGTTTAAGTTTTTAATTTGTCAACTCTCATTATTTACTATATATGGCTATTGTGCTTTTACAGAATAGGAGTTGTAAACATATTCAAGAGCGTGCACAGATGAGGAGCATTTTGACTGAATGTAGTAGGCCGCTCTGGCCCAAATTCCAGGGACGATTTTTTTTTGTCCCAGTCCAGCCCTGATGAGAACCACTGATAGTTCCTCAACAGCAAGCCTTTGCAATGCTGATACTGGAAGGCCAATATTATACACCAGGGGCTTTCAATCACACTCCCGGAGGTCCGGTGTTGTGCAGATTTTGGCTCCAACCCCAATCAGACACACCTGGGCTAACTAATCAAGCTCTTACTACGATTACTAGATCTAGAAACATTCTTTAAGATTTAGATTCAACTTTATTGTCATTACACACGTGCAACGGAGGCCAGCTAGTGTGTGCTGTGCAGGTAATGACGCTAGAGGCCATGGTCTTTAGCCTCCTTGTTAGAGCAACCAACTCCCATGCGGAAGGTCGCCGGTTCGATACCAGCTTGGAGCGGGTTTGGTGGTGTAGGACTGGCAGGGTTACATTGGTGCCGTGACCCGGATGGGAGTGAGGTTTAGGGGGGTGAGTGTAGTGGAGGCCAGCTAGTGTGTGCTGTGCAGGTGAACTTCACTCCTCTGACCTCTAAAGGTGCTCTAGCGACAGACGCTAGAGGCCATGGTCTTTAGCCTCCTTGCTAGAGCAACTGACTCCCATGCGGAAGGTCGTCGGTTGAATACCAGCTCGGAGCAGGTTGGGTGGCGTAGATCCGGTGGGGTTACACGTGTACAAGTACAAGGCAACGAAATGCAGTTTAGGTCTAACCAGCAGTGCAATAGCAGCAAGTGCAGTATACAGGTATAAGTTATAAACAGGGCCGGAGCAAGCTGAACTGCGGCTCTAGGCAAAGGACGATCACAACACCCTCAAACCGAAAGTGAAAACGAAAATGGCCGGTTATCAAAGTGAAGAACCCTATTCTGCCGCCCTAGGCGCGGGTATAACTGCGGACGCAGGTGGTGCGGGAGATGTTCGGATGTCGCCCTCTCTATTCTGCCGCCCTAGGTGCGGATATAACTGCGGACGCAGGTGGTGCGCGAGGTGTTCGGATGCCGCCTTCTCTGCCGCCTTAGGCGCGGGTATAACTGCGGTCGCGGGTGGTGCGGGAGGTGTTCGGATGCCACCCTCTCTATTCTGCCGCCCTAGGCGGCCGCCTAGGTCGCCTCTATGGACGTGCCGGCCCTGGTTATAAAGTGCAGTCATAGAAAAACTATAGTGATATTTACAGATGGATGTACTATCAACATTATATACAGGTTGTATTAGGTATGAACAGATTTACAGTAAATTAATATATGTACAGGTTGCTATTAATAATCAGAAGTGTGCAGATAGATAAACATAATTACAAATGTAGATGTGCAAGTGGGTGTGAACAAAACATTCTTGCAGATGTGTTGAGGGAAGTTGAAACTAAAATCTGCAGGACAGGGCAGAGTTTGAGAGCCCCTGTTAAACAACATGTCTATGAGGACAATTAATGCTTTTTCCCTTGTCATACATTTTGATGACAGACATGAGTATGAGTTGTTTGCAGAGCTGGGTTATCAGCTGGATAAAATGTATGCCACAGTAATTGACAGTAATTGATAAGTGAATGTTTGGGCAGCATGGTGGCGCAGTAGGTAGCACAATCGCCTCACAGCAAGAAGGTTGCTGGTTTGAGCCCTGGCTGGGTCAGTTGACATTTCTGAATGGAGTCTGCATGTTTTCCCCTTGTTCGCATGGGTTCGCTGGATAAGTTGGCGGTTCATTTCGCTGTGGCGACCACTGATTAATAAAGGGACTAAGCCGAAAAGAAAATGAGTAAATGATTATTCTTGCACAATTTTATAAATTACAAAACTATGTATTGATATATAATATGACCATGAAAACAACAATAGGCTACTTACATTTCCCAATATTGGGTAATTTGCCAATTTTATTTATAGTCGTGCTGTGGGGAATGTGGATCCATAAAGGACAGGGAGTTGGGAAGGGGGTTTATTTAATATATTAGCAAATGTTTTGGCTTGTCAGCAGTATTTGGCGTGTTTTTGGCGATACTCCGTTGTTCCCGCCTCGCCGTGATGACGCCAGCACTGACGCGTTCATTCAGCGTCGAGTCTTCAGAGCTGAGGTGAGTCTTTCACGCTTTTTCTCGTGTTTACACAACAATAAAACACACTTTACAGTTTATTAAAGCGACAATCTGCGACTAGTTTCTGCATTGAGTTCACCTCTATCTGTGTGTCTGCTGACCAAAACAATACAGCAGGCGGAGAGGAGCTCTGAGAGGACAATATGAGCTCAGAGTTTGGGTATTTCTGTTAATGTTCGGTTGTTTTCGCTTGGGATAATAATATCGCAATATATGCTATGTAATTCTGATTAATGTCTATATTTGCAGTAGGAATTCAAACTATATATAGATTGTTATGCAAAAAATGATGGTAAACTAGAGTGGTTAAACCTGCAAAAACTTATTATAAAGTGAGCTCACCTCCTGATCCTGAATTCTTTATTCAATGTTGATAATGTTCATCGGTGTAATATATATATATATATATATATATATATATATATATATATATATATATATATATATATAATTATTATTACCTGATATTTATTAAATGTCTATAGTTGCTCTTTTTTACTTTATTCATTATAAAGATGTCTTCAGATTTCCAAATTGCCTCATTGAATTACATTTATTGGTTTGTACAGACTTGAGCAAATCACATAAACATATTGTATTATCTAAAAGATAACAGTGAGGTAAAGCTGGTTTAATATTCACTCATTCTCTTATTTAACATGCTTATATTGTTTACCATGCTACATTGAATATTATGGCTGAACTCGCATTTAAGCGCGTCTCCAAAACAACATAAACCACCTAATTTACCGAACAATGTTGTACTTTGATAGTCATTGACTACTGATATGATTTCCCCATTTAAAATAACCAAAAAATACTTTTCTGAAATTATATTTTAAATGAAAATGTATGAATATAAAACCAACTTTCAGCCCAATTAATATAACTATCAATAGGGATTTATTCCATCAATCAGTGTAAATACTCAGATTTGTCTGTTTGTTCTCCTGAAGCTCTGCCGTCATCAGTGAAAGACAAAGACAGAGTTTATTGAAGGACAGTGAGAAGATGAGTGATCCAGAACCCTGCAGAATTAAACAGGAAGACACTGAAGAACCAATAGGTTTGTGTTTATTCATTACTCTTCAATAATGAGGCTGAACAATAGCGAAGTTGTTAAAGTTTGTAACTTTGTTGCAGGTTAACATTTTACCACCACTCTTTACTTCTCTTGTGTGTATGAACTCCGTAACATTACAAAACTTCCCATCATGCCACCTGTTTCCCGTCTTAAAGACACAGATGCAATTATAGTACATGACAGATGTGACAACAATAAAGCTATAAAATACAAATATTTTCTAAATATTATTAATATGAATACTACAATGGTCTCACAGTTTATGATTATTATATCTTCAATTAGATACCAATGCAATGTGTTGCATTCTAAATTTTCAATCTACATCATGTGATTGTACGACTTTAATACCTGAATACTATTATGGCCCGTTTCCACGTAGTGGTACAGTTTGGAACGATTTTATGTCCGTTTCCACTGTCAAAAGGTACCAAAAAGCAAACCGTACTGTACCACTTTTGGGTACCTAGCACAACAAAAGGGTATCAAAAGGCGGAGCTAGACTCGCAGCTGAACACTATTGGTTACAGAGAAGTGTAAACAAGCCAGGGGATTGAAAACAAAGAAACCGCCATTTTTAAATACACAACTGAGACATTACACCGTAATGCAAGATAAGCGGACGCTCTGAAATTCCTGCCCCTGTCAAGGACACCTGCGGGACTCTGGACTATGCAGGCTCACACACACACAAACATATCTACAGATAAACATTCACCACCGATCCCCATCCAAACGCCTTCGTGTGCTTTTACCCATGTGGGGCGTGGGCGGGACTGTGACTTGCGCCGGAAATGGCTGCTGGACCAGTTGGCTGCCCGCACTCAACGGACTGTTTTCCATTACCCCTGTTCCCATCCCCTCTGTCTATGTTGTGTCTTGCCGGTGTGCTTATGCTAAGATAGGGCTGTTTTTCTCCCTTTTCTCACTTTGTCCTAATCAAGGGCAAGCTGAGGGGGTGTTTTTTAGCCTAACTGTCCAAACGTATCTTTCTTCGTTTCTAAATGCTACCTCCTAAGATCTGTCTCCCCTTAAAAGTTGTTTGTAATGTTTTGTGTATGGTCTTGGGGGTCCAATTTTCGCTATACGAAAGTGTAGTGACAAATAAAGGCTTGATTGATTGATTGATTAATACTATATACATATAATAACGAGCCATGGTTGACCCGAGCTCAAACGAACCTTGTCATTTAATCTTCATTCACTTATTCCGTAATGGCGAGCTGCATCCGCATAACTACTTTTCTTTAGCATGTCGAGAAGTTCAACTTTTTGTGCGATGGTTAGCAGGGGGAAAAGTTGCAAAACATACGGTACAGCACTTCAGAGTAACACTGCTGGCGATCAAAGATTTAAGTAAATTTGGCAAGCTGAATACATCTGTACTGTACAGGAGACACGACACGAAGGAGATTGATTGACAATGGTTTACTGGCCATTTAGGACATTGTGCCCTGTAGAAAAAAGCATGTCAAGTTGCATGAAAAAACTCGGCGTTATAGCGAGGTACCGCTGTGTGTACATACAGTTAAAACCAGAAGTGTACATACTCTCTAAAAAAGGAGCATAACCACTTTTTAAAATAATGTCTGATGGTAAATCATACTAAACGTTTACTATTTTAGGTCCGTTAAGATTACCTAAATAATTTACATTTGCTAAATGCCAGAATAATGAGAGAAATTTTTATTAATTTCTAGACAGTCAAAAGTTGACACACATTTCCTTGGGATTTTTTTAGCTTTGCGTTTGAACTGTATAACTTTGGTCAAATGTTTTGGGTCCCCTTCCACAAGCTTCTCACAATAGTTTGATGGAATTTTTTCCCATTCCTCTTGACAGAATCTGTGTAACAGAGTCAGATTTGTTAGCTGTCGTGCTCGCACAAGCTTTTTCAACTCTGCCCATAATTTTTCTATAGGATTGAGCTCAGGGCTTTGTGATGGCCACTCCAAAACATTCACTCTGTTGTCCTTAAAGCACATTTGAACTAATTTGGCAGTATGCTTAGGGTCATGGTCTGTTTGGAAGACTCATTTGTGGCCAAGTTGTAATTTCCTGGCTGATGTCTTGAGATGTTGCTTCAGTATTTCTCCATAATGTTTTCTTTATGATGCCATCTATGCTGTGAAGAGGACCAGTCCCTCCTGCAGCAAAACAGCCCCACAACATGATGCTGCCGCCCCCATACCTCACAGTTGGTATAGTGTTCCTAGGCTTGTGCGATTTCCCCTTCGTCCTCTAAATGTAACACTGGGCGTTATGGCCAAACAGTTTAATCTTAGCTCCATCAGACCACAGGACATGTCTCCAAACATGAGTCTTTTTCCCAGTGTCATTTAGCTAATTTTAATCTGTCAGTAGATCAGTAGACTGCTTTTACACTTGTAGTAAGTTTAGCGAACACCTCAGAAACTGTTGGCTGGTTCCTGTTGGTCGTGCACCTCTTTTACCAACCAAATTAGTCTACGCCATTATAACAACACAGTTCACTCTACCTATGCACGCCTATTCACGAGTCTCGCAGAAAAGTGATTGACAGGTGTTTATTATGTGTGTAACTTATCTTTATTCATTTATGTATATATTTATGTTTATGGGTAAAATCAAGACCATGTGGGTCAGGTAGTTAAAACGGTAGGCTACAAATAATCAATTCGTTATGAATGAATGAATGAATGAATTATTCATAATTAATTCACTGCTGCCTATGACGACAATGCCATCATCCATCGCGATGTTTCACATTAGACATCGTACGATGCCAAATTGGTCGACGTCGCCCAACCCTAATATATATTTATATTTATATATATATATATATATATATATATATATATATATATATATATATATATATATATATATATATATATATAAACAAAACAATATATAACAACTAATAAATGACTGTAACTTTTAGCAGACATGATAGAACTGTGCAGTATGTCGTTGTCCTTTCTTTCCAATGTGCAAACTCATTGACTCTCATCTCCTACGCTAGCACATTTCAGCCCTGCAGACTGCTAATCTCTTAAAAACTAGCCTCTGAAAATGTTTTTTATTTGCTTAATTTTCAGACGTGATGGTGAAGGAGGAATGTGAAGAACTGAGTGAACATGAGGAGAAACATGTCAAAAGTGAAGAAGAAACTCAATCAGAGACTGAAGATACAGCTGTGAAAGGGTTCACCTGCACTCAGTGTGGAAAGTGTTTTGGGCGCAAGCACTGTCTCAATATTCACTTGAGGAGCCACACTGGAGAGAAACCCTACCAGTGTTCACACTGCGACAAGAGATTCAGTCGTGCACAACACCTGAAATTACACGAGAGGATTCACACTGGAGAGAAACCGTATCACTGCACTGATTGTGGGAAGAGTTTCACACAGTCATCTTCTCTACGAACACACACAAAAACCATTCACAGTAAGTAGATCATATTAGGATTCAACCTTTCCAGCTCATATTATTTAGGATAATTGTGGAGTTGATAACACATTTGAAGAGGTCATGTGATGCGGTTTCATGTTAGATTGTGATAAGAGGCTTGTGTTTTTATAATGGCCTGTTTTCCACTGAGTGGTACGTTTCGGTATGCTTTTATGGCCGTTTCCACTGTCAAAATGTACCAAAAAGCAAACCGTATCATACCACTTTTTGGCTACCCTTTGCAAACGTACGCTTTGAAATGGGCCATAAAATGTCTGATTTCCACTGAGGAGTACAGTTCAGGGTCAGGTTTCCTAATAACTATGTATGTCAAACGTTAAGAATGTTTCTTGCCATGCCACATGCGTTTCCAAAACAAAAAGGAAAATTAAGTGAGAAAGTGTTATACCTGAACCTCACGACTCGCAGTCCAATTCCAAAGAGCTGAAATATTGTAAACAAATGTATTTATATAGAACTTCAGCCACATCAAAGCTATACAAAGTGCTTATCAGAGTAGAAATTAACTAGAACAAGACAACCAATTAAATACCAAAGATAATACAATTTGTTGGAGAAAGGAATCCATTTTTAATTATTTTTGTCTGTTTTTCTTTTCATTAAATTTCATTAAAGTATTTCTATTGCTTAAGGTGATTAACCAAACTTCTACTCTTGAGTGTGATATGTTTTGCATACTAATGAAGCATTTATGCAGAAGTAGATGAAGCTGATTGAAATGCAAAGGCCTGATTGTCTAAAACTAACTTGAGCTCTGCAGCTAAACTTCCTGTGAGCAGAGATGGGTTGAAACTGAACACAGAAGTCTTATGCTTTAACGTTGTGCAGAGATTTCATAGAAAAAGAGGAAGTATGTATGGGTGCGGCCAATGGAGGATTGGAGAATGATTGACAAGTGACAAATTTAACTAAACTCCACCTGTTAATATCAGCTGCCTATAAAACCTGGAGTCAGAAAAAGGAAATTATTGTGCACCTCCTGAATGTAATTCCTGCATTAAGCATGCGGGAATTCTGTGAATCGAAATTATTAATTTGTATTCAATGAACTACTAATATTGCATTGACATTGAAGAAAACTCTCGCCTGACCTTTATTGAACAGGCATGGAATTGAGTAAATATTCTAACAAATTAAAATGCTAAAAATAAAGAATATATTTTCAAAATTGATTTAAAAATAGTAAAGGACTATGCAAAGCGGCAATCTAAGGTCAATAGATAGTGACTGAATAAGCTCTCTCAACCTTTTTTTTAAAAATGGGATCAAGGAACAAATAAAAAAGCCCTTTCAGCAGATATTAATGATCTAGTAGTTGGGGTATTGATAAGGAGATCTTTACGGTAAGATTTGATTGTTGGTTTACAGCTTTTCTAAATGCAAATTGCTGGATATACAGATTAAAAATGTATTTAACACCACCCCAAAGAGACATAAGATGTTTAATGTTGTCTTTAGTTGATTTGTGGTGTTTATTATGAAATTTTGCTGGATATGTTTGTAATTTGAGGCAACAGACACTGCCGAGTATGTCTTAAATGCATGTTCATGCATTGTGTCATATCTCTCAGCTCTTACTGGGATTTCTCTGCAGTGAAAGGACCGAAATGCAGTTTATTAAACGTCATGTTTTTATGCAGAGGTTAAAATTCCATGTGTTCACATTAACATTATAGCTTCAAAATACAACACAATACATCTTCGTCAGTCTATTTTGTCGAGTTTAATTATATTTAAGCTTGTATATCATGCACAACACTCGAAACAACTCGAAATAGCTTACTCTTGTGTTTTATATTAGTTTTCTCATTCCTGTAGTAGCTAAAATAAACCTGACCACTACTTAGGTTAAAACGATTTAAGACTGCTCCATTTGTTGGAGTATCTTCAGTTTGACAAACGACGTATGATTATTTTTGCATGTGTTTATTTCAGACTAGCTGTCAGTAAAGCTGAGATTTAAGTTTTTATTAACTGTAGTCAACTTAAAGCCTGAGAATTTTATTCTTATATTAGTCCAAATATACTTTCGTCTAATTTTAGTCAACGAGCACTGATTACATCTAGTCTACTTTTAGTCAATGAAAATTGGTATTTTAGTCTGTTTTTAGTAATGCAATTCAATTTGACCCAGTCAGTGTTGTATATGAGCTTAGTAGTATAGATGAAAGAGTTTTACAGTTGTTAATTGTGACCGTGCATCACGATGACATATGGAGAGGTGGAAATTTGGGTAACAACTGTTGTAAAAAAAATAAATAAATGAGTGAAAAGAAGAGAGAACCCAGTCCAGGAGACTCGGAACAAGCAGAATTCCTTTATTGAGACGTGTTGGTTAATCTGCAGTCATACAGCGTCTTTAAGATGTCCGTGTCTGCAAGAGCCTACTAGAGGTCCGCAGTCTGCAAGTTCTTTCACAAGTCTCACACAAGTCTCACACAGGTCTGAATTAAGACAAAGATTTCATGGCTATATTGTGTTCTTAGGAGGAGGGGATATGGCTAAACAAAGCATGCAAATTAAGGGTTGTGGTCGGCAGGGTAAACTGCTTCTCAGGTCTAATCTCATCATGTTCTGGAGACAGAAACCGCCTGACCATTTGATCGAAAAGAGAAAACAATAGACACCCCATGCTGTGAAACTGACAATTTGCATTACTTTGGCTTAGCCTGTAATCAGAAAGATAAAGGTTAAATGTCCCTCCTAGCTGGGATGTTAATGAAATGATATAATTAAAAACCAGAGAATATAACTTTTCAGTTATACGTAGATTATTGTTAATTTGAAATTAGATGATATAAATTTATATTTCCACACAACGAATGAGGGAGGGAAAGTGATGCTGTTAGCAAACGGTTAATGACTAACTTCTTAAAATGTAATTCATTCACTTATTTTTCAGATGTGATAGTGAAGGAGGAGAGTGAAAATGGGGAGAAACTTCATGTCGAAAGAAAAAACAAAACTCAATCAAAGACTGAGCATAATATCTCAATGAAAAGGTCAGCCGCAGAACGTTTCGCCTGCAGTAAGTGTGGAAAGAGTTTCGAGCGCAAATACCATCTCAAGCTTCACATGAGGATCCACTCTGGAGAGAAACCCTACAAGTGTTCGCACTGCGACAAGAGATTCGTTGATCCCAGATACCTAAAAATACACGAGAGTCTTCACATTGGAGAGAACCTGTGTCACTGCACTGTTTGTGGGAAGAGTTTCACAAAGTCATCCTCTCTGCGAAGACACAAAATAAACATTCACAGTAAGTCGATCATCTTAAGATCCAGCCCTTCTATGTAGTATTATTTAGGATCATTGTGCAGGTGATAACAAATTTAAAGTGTGGTAATATGATGCGATTTCATTGGAGTGTGACAAGCTAGATCCCTTGTGTATATAAGATGCCTCGTTTCCACTGAGCGGTTCAGTTCATGGATGGCTTCCCTGTTAACGATGTTTTTTAGCTCCTAAACAAGCACTCCAACTTTTTATTGTTGAAAAAAGCTCATTTGACAAGTGTCCTAGAGTAAAACAGTTGACTCGAACCTTGATTCAGCCGATTTCTTGTTCTGGCTGGGTCATTAATACCTTAATAAATTAGCTTAGCCTAACATAATTCATTGAATCAAATCTGAAAATTAGCATTTTGTAAAAAATAAATGATAATATTCCTGTTTAAAGCTTGATGCCTCTGTAATTGTCACCACGGGAGTGACACTGACAACAGAGATCGGATCCACATGCAGGTTTATTGAGGATGTCAGGCAAGCAATGGTCAACACGGGTGCAAACAGATGTATGAAGACAATCCAGAATCGCAGGCAGATGGTCACGAGGCTGATCACCAATTCGGCAGAAGACCTAATGGAACCCACATAGAGCCAAGATTCTCATAGAAATCAGTCAAGTTTGGTGAAGGAGAAATCATGGTTTGGGGTTACATTCAGTATGGGGGCATGAGAGAGATCTGCAGCCTGAGGTATCAAGACATTTGTGCTGCCCATTACATTACAAACCACAGGAGAGGGGGCGAATTCTCCAGCAGGATAGCGCTCCTGCTCATACTTCAGCCTCCACATCAAAGCTCCTCAAAGCAAAGAAGATTAAGGTGCTCCAGGATTGGCCAGCTCAGTCTCCAGACATGAACATTATTGAGCTTGTCTGGGGTAAGATGAAGGAGGAGGCATTGAAGTTGAACACAAAGACTCTTGATGAACTGCAAGAACACTCCAGATGACTTTATTAATCAGTGATTTGAGTCATGTCAGAAATGTATGGATGCAGTCCTCTACGCTCATGATGGAGTCAGACACAATATTCATTCTGTCTCCACTGCAGCAGGACTTTATATTCTATACTGGACATTATTTCTGTTCAGTGACAAGACTTTCGTCTAAGCAAAGTCAGACCTTACTGTCCTAATGAAATCTTTCAAAATCAAGCCATGATCATATTTTATTGTGCTCAAATATGCATAATCTAGAGGCCTTCGCCTTTCATATAAGACACTTCTGATACCAAATGATCAACTAGAAGTCAAGTTATTATTTGCTGGTCCTAAAACTTGGACAGGCAGCAAGACTTTTGTCAGGTGGTGTAATGCAAATATGTAAAAACAAACAAAAGAACTATTATATGCCACCAGATATGCACATCTGAACCTGCGGTCTGTGTGGGTCCCAATACCCCAGTATAGTGAAGGGGAATCTATACTGCTCGTTATCTGGATGAGACGTTAAACCGAGATCATGACCCTCTGTGGTCGTTAAAAATCCTAGGAAGTTCCTCGAAAACGAGTAGGGCTTTAACCCTGGCATCCTAGCCAAATCTGCCCACTGGCCTTTGTCCATCATGGCTGATTTATACTTCTGCGTCAAAAGCACACGCATGCTACGCGTTGACGCATAGCCCTTCGCCATGGCCGTCGGCGTCACTGACATGCACCTCTCAAAAAATGTAACTACACGTCGAAACGTAGCGCAAGCTCTGTGATTGGTTGGCTTGGTATCGCTGATGAGTCTGGGCGGGACCGAGAGCCGCGCGAATGGCGCGAGCTGGGGGCAAGCCCAATGGAGCGATTGTTTACAAGTGTGGAGTCCCGTGAAGGAGCTCTGGATGGAAAGTTTTGTTTTGTGTTTACCTCATAGTTAAAGTTGTTGCAAGGCCGCCGGTTCCTGCCTCAAAATGAGCGAGTTTCAGCCACTTGTACATCCAGGAAGTGTTCAGGAAAAGCAAAACAGCAGCGAAGAAACTCGACAGAGAGGAACATTTACACCTCACTGCCAACTAGCGTTTCGGAAGTGTAATGCAGACCAACAGAGACAGCGCGCAGAAGTATAAATGCACAGCTACGAGCGTTGCATGCACCGTGGGTTACGCCGGTCACTTAACGCATAAGTATAAAACAGGCTTAAAATCCCTGTATCAAAATTGGCTTCATCACTCTGTCTCCTCTTCACCAATCAGCTGATGTGTGGTCTGGCGCAAGATGGCTGACATCGCATCATCCAGGTGTATGCTGCACGCTGGTGGTGGAGGAGGAGATTAACCCCTATATGTAAAGCGCTTTAAGAGTCCATAAAAGGGTTATATAAATGTAAGGAATTATTGTTATTAATTAGGTGGTTCTGTAGTTATCAAATTAGGCTGCTCATTTTTTAATGATGTTCATCCTTCGCTTATTTTTGTCTTAATATGCAGACCTGATTGTGAAGGACGAGAGTGAAGCCCTGAAGGTCCGAACAAAGGAGAAAACCTATTTATGCTTTTGGTGTGGGAAGAGTTTTACACAGCATTCAGTTTTAAAACAACACGAGAAGATTCACAGCGGAGACAAACCGTTCACCTGTACTTTGTGTGGGAGGAGTTTCATTCGCTCATCACATCTTAATCGTCACATGCTGATCCACACTGGAGAGAAGACACACAAATGTGATCAGTGCGACAAAATGTTTTTCAATGCTTCAGATCTGAAGGACCATCTTAGAATTCACACCAAGGAGAAGCCTTACTCGTGTTATTTGTGTGGAAAGAGATTTAACCATCGGTCACATTTAAAATACCACCAGAAGATCCACTTTGGTGTGAAGGAGCATGCGTGCCTTGAGTGTGGGAAGAGTTTTGTCAGATCTGGAGAACTGAAACAGCACAAGATGATTCACACTGGAGAGAAACCGTTCACATGTACTCAGTGTGGGAAGGGTTTCGCACAATTATCCAATATTAAAAAGCACATGAAGATCCACTCTGGAGAGAAGCAACAAACTCTGATCAATGCAGCGAAGCGTCTTTGACTGTTTTCTGACTTTGACTGACAGAACTGAGGATCCATCTTGGAGTTCATACAGTAGAGAAGATGTAGTCCTGTTGTGTGTGTGTGTGGAAAGGTTTTGGACAGGGTTTCCACAGGTCAGGAATGTTCTTAAATAAAATGGAAGTTTCAAGTCATGGAATAATCCAGAAACTTTAGTTTGTCGCTTGTTTAATTGCATAGTTTAGTATATATATATATATATATATATATATATATATAATAAACTATGCATATATATATATATATATATATATATATATATATATATATATATATATATATATATATAATAAACTATGCATATATATATATATATATATATATATATATATATATATATATATATATATATACATATATATAATCCTTTATTGTGTTATAAACATTTGTTTACTGAGTTAATGACATGTTTTAGAAGTTTTATCTCTGCCATACAACATTACGTTTGACGCTATTAATTAATATAAAGAGTATTTCGCCTCACAAATGAATAAATAAACTGCCTTTTTGTCTACATTTGCAGTTGTTTTGGATTGTCAACGGTATTTTTAATTTGGTGCGTTTTTGACGATCAGTTGTTCCCGCCTCGCCGTGATGACGTCAGCGCTGACGCGTTCATTCAGCGTCGAGTCTTCAGAGCTGAGGTGAGTCGTTGACGCTTTTTCTCGTGTTTACACGACAATAAAACACACTTTACAGTTTATTAAAGCGACAATCTGCAACTAGTTTCTGCATTGAGTTCACCTCTGTCTGTATGTCTGCTGACCAAAACAATACAGCAGGCAGAGAGCAGCTCTGAGAGGACAATGTTAGCTCAGTGTTTGTGTTTTTCTGATTGTTCGTTTTTAACAAGTAATATCGTGTGTTATTACCCGTGAATATAATGGGAAGTCAGTTTGGCAGATATATGACGTTAGATACTGAAAACATTCGTTTCTGGTTATCTTTTAAAAGTTTTCTGTTTTGTCCGTTTCATCACATTTAATGGGACATTCCTATCGTGGCTGAATGTACCTAAACATCAACCAGAGAAACCCAAATGACAACTGTACTTGTAATAACCATAAATACTGTAAAAAGGACGAGTCATAATCAAATAAAGTGAAAAACAATACTATTAGGAAAAACTTAACGTGGCTTATTGTAACAACAAGCGGGAAAACTAAAAATTTCTATTAAATTTTACTCGCAACAAACAATTTCTGATGTCAGAGGATTGAGCTCTAATTTTAGTGAGTGAAACTTATCACATTATGTGTTTTAAGTCCATTATAAAAGGAAAAAGCTTAACATGGTACCTCAAGTGGAGCACACCAATAATCTATACATTTTTATTTGTAATTAACACAAACTACTAGCAAAAGATCAAGCCCTGATTCAGTGGATGAAGTGAACAATGTGTTTTATCTCCATTGAGGACAATTATAAGTACTTAGTGTGGTTTAACTTAACATTCTGAGACCATCAAATTTCTATTAAAAAAAATATACAAGCAAGTCCAGCGTTATGGATGTGGCATTTGCAGTAAAACCTTAACACATAAATTTGCATAGAAAGTTTATGTTGACATTATATTGAAACTTTTGTTTATATTTTCCAGAATAACTGAGCACAGAGTTAAAAGAGCAGAAAAAATGTTAATGTGTAAACATGTTTTGTACTTTAAGTTTGGAACATAAACACGCGTTATGGATGTGACAAAAACTGCAGGTTTACAGTATACAACATACTTTGTTGGAATTCTGTGAGTTAAACTGCACAACCCAAAAGAAACAAAGATAATCAAAAGGGGAAGAGTCGGCTCTCTATAAAACAAAAACTATTGGTTTTATTTTATTTAATATTTTCACATTTATGGTAAAAAAAAGTGTCGTTATGGATGTGACAGATGTGAAATTGCCACTTGTGTGACTTTGGTAATTCAAATAGAATAGTTTAAAAACACTGACAGATAAATTTTGAGTATTTTTAAAATACTGTCAAATACTTGCTTTCTCAAAAAACCCTGAAACGGTTTCTGTATTTTGGTAAAAACTCAATTTTTTTCATAGCAAGGTTGTCATTTGCACGGAATTGCTCATACTCATAAAACTTTGTGCTGTTAAAGGAACAAGCTTTTATTTTCGTGTATCAAGCTTAACAATATCACTTGAACACTCCATGTAGAAGTCCATTATAAGGAAACAGCTTAACCTACCTTAACTCAGACCAGGCAAACCCAAATTTCTGTCAAACTTTACTTGTGATTAATACTAACTGGAAACCAAATGTTAAAAATGCTGTTCATAAAATCAAAGTTAGTGTTAATCACCTGTAAAATTTAATTAAAATTCCTTTTAATAAAATTCAACAGAGGGAAACTGCTTAATGTGACGATTTTCACTTTATCTATGGAATTGGGACTCGTTCTTTAAACTAGGGATGCACCGATATGGATTTTTGGGCTGATATCGATGACCGATAAGATATATATATATATATATATATATATATATATATATATATATATATATATATATATATATATATATATATATATATATATATATATGAGCAATTCCAACGTTATGGATGTGACATTAAAATAGTACCTGTTTTTTTTTCCAAAACAACTAACCAAAAATTAATGTAACTAAAAAAATATTAATCTGTAAACATTTTTAATAGTCTAAATGAGAAAAATAAACATGCGTTACGGATGTGACAAAAAAAGTTTACGAGTTTACAGTATACAACATGCTTTGTAGCAATTCTGTAAATGAAACTCCACAACCAAAAACATTTAATGCTAATCAAAAGGTCGACTCACTATAGAACAAAATCATGGATTTATTTTATTGAACATTTTTGGAATTATAAGGGAAAAGCCTCATTATGGATGTGACACTTTTCCGTTATGGATGTGACAGATGTGAAATTGCCACTTGTGTGACTTTGGTAAATGAAATATAATAGTTTGAAAACACTGACAGATGCATTTTGGAGTATTTTTAAAGTGCTGTAAAATACTTGCTCACACAAAAAAAGGTAGAAACTGTTTCTCTGTTTTGGTGAAAACTTAATTTTTTCATGGCAAGGTTGACATTTGCATGGTTTGCTCATTTATATATATATCGGCCTATATATGTATATAGGCCGATATATATAAATAATTTTTATAAACTTCATAAAAGTTTAATCTGATCCTATGAACTGAATAGCAAAATTGCAAGGTGATTATGTAGACCTGTATTTACAATTTCACATAAGTCAGCATGCCAAAAATAAATTTCCTTTTCTTCGCATAGTAAATTAATATAGCAACTTCACATGGAAACTTGACTGTTGCAATAACGATTTGGCCGCCGATATATTGTGCATCCCTACTTTTTACAGTAGTTGGGGTTAATTACAAGTTAAGTTTGAAAGAAATTTGGGTTTCTCTGGTTGATGTTTAGTTATATTAAGCCATGTTAAGCATTTTTGAATGTCCCCATTCAATATAGATGTATTAGCAATGTAGTTTCTGGGTTTTTATGAATACTTATGTATTTAAACTATATGTAATTTTCTATGTACAAAAAAAGATCAGTGTAATTAGTTCATCCTGCAAACACTCTGTATAAAATGAGCTGATCTGATCTAAGTTTTTAATGCGTTTTTAAAGTCTGGGCCTTTATCGCAGCTAATGAAACAATCTACTTGAGAGCTGTTCTTTTTTCATTCATTATATTGATGTCTTTAGATCAAAACAGCGAGAAGATGAGTGATCCAGAACCCTGCGGAATTAAAGAGGAAGAGACTGAAGAACTAATAGGTTTGTGTTTATTCATTACTCTTCAATAATGAAGCATCGAGTGTTCAGACTTGGCAAGTTTGAGTAGGCAGCACAAAGTGCATTATAAGACCATCTTCTCTACAGCATGTTAGAGCTGCACAATTAATAAAAATAAAAATCGCGATCTCGATTCGACTCCCCCTAGAGGACAAAATTGCGACCGTTTTGGTTGCGTATGCGCACTATTTTATCTATGTGACCTCAAAATATATTTGGAAGCATATGTGCAAATGCATAAATTGTTGTTGTGCGACCAGTTTTCATTGCAAAATGTTCACAGCATGCGGGTATTTACGGAGCTAATAATACAGATTATGTCCTGTTAGAAATGTTTTGAATTTGTATTTCTTAACTTGATTATTGAACATCTGAAATTTAAGACAACTTAATTTTTTAAGTCAGATTTTTATAGACATAATTTTAAACTTCAGATTTTTTTTTGGTTCTGAATTCAGAGGCTGTAGATATTGGGTGTGTACGTTTTTAAGAATTTGAATTAACACTATTCAAATTCAGATTGTTTTGGCACTCTTATACATATTTAGGAGACATGCACCCAGAATGCATCTTTGCACCTGAAATGCCAATTCAATGACTGTAAAAAAAAAAAAGTAGCAATGCGCATACCATGAACGACTGGCCATGAAAGTTTGGTACTACACCCAAAACAAAATCTGACTGTAAGCTCATTTCTTGAGATATCAACTTGAGGTAGAAAAAGACCAAACTTAAAAACATACTTCATCCAATAACTGACTTTTTTTATTTATTTTTTAATAATTTTTGGGTGAACTATCCCAATAAATCTATGCTCTAGATCAGTGGTCACCAAACTTGTTCCTGGAGGGCCGGTGTCCTGCAGATTTTAGCTCCAACCCTAATCAAACACACCTGAACAAGCTAATCAAGGTCTTACTAGGTATACTTGAAACACCCAGGCAGGTGTGTTGAGGAGGTTGGAGCTAAACCCTGCAGGGACACCGGCCCTTCAGGAGCGAGATTGGTGACCCCTGCTCTAAAGTATTCAACAATTTAAGTTAAAATGTCATATTGTGGTTTTTAAAATAGCACGATGGATTTAAATGTGAAAAAGTACATATAACATATTTAAACGTAATTAACCGTGGTTCTTAGGTGCTGAAAAATCATAAAAATGCACCTTAAAATTGCTGGAATTTAAAGTTGGAAAAGGTGTAAGAACCCTGATTAAAACATGTTGTCTGGTTTCTAAATGTCGTCTTAATTTAAAAGGTTTCGTGCTCTTGTGAGAGCACCTCGCTACTTATGACACACTGAGGATTTAAGTCTTTTTTGTCGTCAATATATGTAAATCCACACTTTACATATTCAGGGTCGTACTTGCGCTTTGACATATTTGTTGCTATAATTAAATGAAATTTCATGTTAAATGGTACGGTTGTCGTGCACGCATTTCAAAATAAAAGTCAAAATAAGTTAAATTAAACTTTTGTTGTTTTTTTCACCGCACACTCCGCAACCCACTGAAAATGTTCTCGCGACCCACTTTTGGGTTGCGACCCACCAGTTGAGAAACACTGCTCTAGTCTATATATATTGTATTATAGATATAAAACGTTTTATTCACACATGCACACATTTTGCAGTTTGCACACACTCGAGCCCTGCTAAAAGACAAACAAAAAAAAAATGCCTCTCAAAGTGTAACTTAATTAATTTTCAGATGTGATGGTGAAGGAGGAGAGTGAAGAACTGAGTGAAGATGAGGAGGAGCATCATGTCAAAAGTGAAACTGAAACTCACTCAAATACGGAACATGAAAAGAACACGAAAAGTACAGATGTAGTAAGTTTCACCTGTATTCAGTGTGGAAAGAGTTTCACTCAGAAATCCGATCTCAGGCGTCACATGATGATCCACACTGGAGAGAAACCTTACAAGTGTTCACACTGCGACATGAGATTCAGTCATTCTGGAAACCTGACAAAGCACGAGAGGACTCACACTGGAGAGAAACCGTATCACTGCACTGCTTGTGGGAAGAATTTCTCACAGTCATCCTCTCTACGAACACACAGAAAAACCATTCACAGTAAGTAGATCTACGCAACCCAACGAGATGTGGGGAACTGTAGTTTCAATGGAATGTTTGATACCGCACCGCATGTATGAGAGAAAAAAAACCTCAGCATTTCTTGGCAACATAGATGCACTAAGTAAGTAGCGCCAGAAAGCCGTGTGTGTGTAGACTATCCTATCACCAAATGCTGCGGAAATCCTACACGGCGGTAAAAGTTTGATTACGATTATTTAAGATGGAAACGCTAGGGTTAACGCAACATTTAAAAATTATGACCCTTTTATGAATGGTGGTGGCAATTGAGCAGGCAAACAACCAAATTATGCCAAAATAAGTGTTTATTTTACAAAGTGGATAAATGATAAACAAAGTATATACAAAATAAAGAAAACACGAAAAAATAAATGGTTGTAATAAAGGGGAGGAGGAACAAAAGTGCCGCCAAAGAAAAGAAAATAACAAAACACAACCCTAACTAGAACCCACAATCTCTATACTATCTAATAAAAGAAAGAGAAAAAAAAGTCTTCAGCGTTTTCACGCCCTATCTAACCTACACTTCTAAACACAAACGTAAACAAAACTTACAATGAGTGGCGCACACTTCTAAACTATTGTGTATAATACATTGGTATCTCCTATGTGTAGCAACATGTAGGTCACGTGACATCAACCCTGTTCCTCGAATCCCATGGATGTCGTATATCTGGTAATCAGAGAGAAAACACAATTAGAACACTTTTAAAGATCGATTTCAGCACAAATGATTATAACACACATAGCACAAGAAACTATCACATAATCCAGCAAACACACAGTCAACCAACATAGCAAACACACAACAGTGAGCAAGCCAAAAAGCAAGCTAGCTTTCAACTGCACCGGCTTCCTTTTAAAGTGGGGAAGTCTGCTTGTAATTGGTCAATGATGATGTCATCGCAAATGGTAACGATGACTGGCATCTAGCTTGGCCAATAGGTAGATGAGCTGGGCGGACCTAAAGAAAATGATAGGTAGAGAAGGAGGGAAAGAGAAAAAAATACAAACAAACACGCACAGATACTGAGCCGTAACAACGGTGTTTACGTGTTTACATTCGGAGATCTGCGTTTACAGCGGATCTTTCGGTCCATGATATTGTAGTGATATTAACGTACTGTAAACTTAGTAACTAAATCATTTTGACTTGGGTATGTCTTTAAAAACTGAAAGATTACTGCTGATGATACAAACTAACTTTGCCTCTGAATAAACATAAAGACCACTGATCGCTTACTTACCAAATAAAGACAGGACAATCAACACCAACTGGAGCCGTGTCTTTTTTAAAAGGAGACGAGGAGCAAATCCAGATTTCACCATTTCAAGATGCGAAAAGCTCTTTGGTAAAAAATGTTTCTTACAAATGTATAGCTGTGGCTTGTTAGCAGACCACTGTAATCCACACATGTGGGTCCAGCTGCGCTCTCATAGCAGGGAATTGAAAACAAAAACCTTTGTTGCAGCACATTTATAAATGCAACACTGACGACCCTTGTCTCCAAACAATTCTTTTACTTTCACTTGTTTTGAATACGGTTGGCAATACAACATGGTGTCTCACTCATTCTGAACACTGCAACAGGTAAACACTTTCTTCAAAGCTAGGATGCATAGTAATGAAGTTGCACCTTATTCACAATAGAGCGAGCTTGGTTCGAGCCAAGTCTTTCTCATGAAATAATGCAAAAAGACATCAAGTTGTAATCGTCGGTACAGACATTCAGTCTGGATGCTGGAATACACACAATTATCTCATGACCGTGACGTAGCTTGCTAATTTCTTTTCAAACCGGAAGAACAAATTTGCTCGAAATAACACAAAAACAACCAATTTTCACTTTTTTTTGTTAAATATATGTGTCCTAAAATGTAGCCTCTTAAAATGACACTTATTTTTGTATTTTTCAGAAGGGATGGTGGAGGAGCGTGAAGATGTGGAGAAACGTCGTGTCAGAAATAAAAAGAAAACTCCCTCAAAGACGGAAAGCAGTGTTGTGATGAAAAGAACCCCGGAAAGTTTCATCTGCGGTAAGTGTGGAATGAGCTTTGTGCGCAGATATCATCTCACGCTTCACATGAAGATCCACTTTGAAGAGAAACCCTGCAAGTGTTCATACTGCGACAAGAGGTTCAGGGATTTGAAATACCTATTGAGACACGAGAGCCTTCACACCGGAGGGAACCTGTTCCACTGCAATGTTTGTGGGAAGGGTTTCACACTATCATCATCTCTACGAAGACACAAGAAAACCATTCACAGTGAGTAGATCATCTACAGATTCAGCCTGTCCTGGTTGTATCATTTAGGATAATTGTGGTGTAGTTAACATTTTTAAAGTGGTCATATGATGCAGTTTCAGAGTGTGATAAGCTGGTTGTGTTTATAGAAGATCTATATAGTCTCAAAGGCTAAAGGCTCGTACACAAAGGGATGCTTTTCGTTTGTGTTTATTGTCAGTGTTTTTCAAGACATTTTTCCGTAATCAAATCCAAGCGATGTTTATTAGCGTTGAGCAGAAGAGGATGCAAAATTACTCCTTGATGTTAGATGGCGCTACACAACTTTAAGCTTCTGACACCCGCTTGTAACACTAAAGAAGAAGACAGTTGACACACTTGTTGTTAAGGTTACTGGCAATTTGAACAAGCTTGGATGGTTCGAGTCAAGTAGCGATGAAGAAATGATTATTGTTCACCAGTGCAACAAGCAGCTCCACGTTCGTATCGCCTCTGAAGAAAATGCCCAATATGTGCTCGAGTTGACAGTTTTCTGCTTGAGCGCCTCTAAGTGCTGTTTACTGTAACTTCTGCAGCTCCGTGCATGTGACCAAAAGTGCCGATCTGATTGGTGGAGAAACAAAAAAACGAGCATGAAGCGTTTCTTTTAAAGTGACTCATATACACCTGTCGTTTTGCACGTTGGCGTGCCCTTTATTTAGTCATGAGGCATTAAACGTCGGCAGAAAACGCAACCTAAAACCGACTGGGTGTGAACGAACCTTAATTCCTCGTTTCCACTAAACAGTATAGTTCAGGGTCGGGTTTCCTTATAACGATGTATAAAAGAGATCCTCGGTCATTTTAATTTTAGCTAATTATAAAAGTATGCTACAGTTAAAGAGCTCACTTGAACCAATGTTTAAATCATTTAGCCAATTTTTTGTTCTGGTGGGGTCACTAATAGCTAAGCATAATTCATTGAATCATATTCATCGGGGGTGTTCAAACTCGATCCTGGAGGGCCGGTGTTCTGCAGATTTTTAGCTCCAATTTGCCTCACCTGCATGGATGTTTCTAAAAAGTGTAGGGATAGTTTACAGTTTAACCCAAAGAATGAGCAGTCTGGTAGATGAAAGAGAGCCGGAGTCAGAGATTTAAATAAATAAATCAAGTTTACTGAAGATAGTTTGCAGTTTCATCCGCAGAAGCCAGCTTCAACACTCGCAATGAGTTCCTAGGCCGCTCTGCTTACAATCACCAATCAATAATAATTATACTCTCACATAACGTCATTAACTGCGTCATACATATAGGTGTTCTAACCTGATTGGTTAAAACACAGATAGACTTGGAAAATTTCCACGTGGGGTTTGTGCGTATATTCTGAACAATATCTTAAGTATAAACGTCAGACATCCTTTAGACTGATTAGAGCTGACTCCAGACCTGTGAAACAGATCAACAATCAAATAGAACACACACACTTAAACTACAATCTGTTTCTTATAAAAGGCTGAGTGTACTCTCAGTCTTCTTTATCAAAACTGGTATAATCTACATTCAGCCAGTTATATTCTTACTACACAAAGTCTATCTTGAATAAAAGAAGAATCACTTTAAAAGATTTAACCGTAAAAATAGCAAAATCACTTTAGACATTTTAGATGGTATTAACTCAAGACTCAAGCTTAGACCCGAAAGGCGCTTCATGTGACTTCACACTTAACAAGCGGATACAAAACCCATACCGCCGAACCACGAGGGGGCATAATGTGAAACTATGCTTTCATTTTATTTAGGCTTAAACACTTTAAAATAAATAGAAAAATGGGGGGATTCCCTCCCTTTCCATTACAGGGGTCGTTGCCCCTTCTATGCAACCCTCAAATCAATCAGGTCATGTAGCGGTGCTTGACTGTCAGATGTGCTCTATGGTGATGAATACACACTATTTTACAAATAGATGAGGTTTAAAACGGAGCAAAAGTGGACACACTGGGTTTTGGGTGCATGTTTAAGCAGACAAATACACATACAGTTGAAGTCAGAATTATTAGCCCCCCTGTTGATTCTTGCCCAATTTCTGTTGAACGGAGAGATTTTTTTCAACACATTTCTAAGCATAATAGTTTTAATAACTCATTCCTAATAGCTGATTTATTTTATCTTTGTCATGATGACAGTAAGTAATATTTTACTAGATATTCTTCAAGACACTTCTATACAGCTTAAAGTGACATTTAAAGGCTGAATTAGGTTAACTAGGCAGGTTAGGGTAATTAGGCAAGTTATTGTATAACAATGGTTTGTTCTGTAGACAGTCGGAAAATACATAGCTTAAAGGGGCTAATAATATTGACCTTAAAATGTTTTTTTATTTTTATTTTTTTATTAGTCGGTTATTTTGATGCATCAGCACATACAGATACAGTCTCTGTCATACAGTGAGGAAGTAAAAAATAATAAAAGGGGGAAATATACAAACAAGTAAACAAGGTAATACAGTCAAGCTAGGAGCAAAAAATATTTACCATAGAATAGAAAATCCAGAGAAATTGTTGATGTAATGCCAGAAAGGTGTCTGTAGCTGCCAGAAGTCATCTGACTTTTGATGTATATCATAGGTGAGTTTCTCAAGTGGAAATAACGCACATACTTGAGACAACCACATTTTAAAGGAGGGTGTCTGAGGATATGACCACAATAAACGTTTACATTTCTTTGATAGATAGACCAACATTAAAAACAAATGTTTGGTGTGGGGGTCCAACACATTCTCTACTCCACCATACAACAAATACAATTCCAGAGAAAAAGTGAATTTTATCTGAAAGAGTCCTTGTAGAAAAGGATGTGTTTTCTTCCAAAACAAGATGATTTTGTCACAATTCCAGAAACCGTGAAGGAATGTTCCTTTGCCTTTTTTTTGCTGTTAAAACAAAGATCAGAGGAGTTTCTATACTTTTTTTTTTAGATGCAAAGGTGTAAGATAAACTCTGTTAATGAATTTATGATTGAGCTCATGAACACCAAATGAAGTACATTTAGAATACAAATTGTTACATATTACCGACCAATCTGTATCTTCAATTTCGTGACCTAAATCTTTTTCCCACACACACTTCAAACTCTCAAAGGAAGAAGTACATGAGTTAGATAGAACTTTATATATTTTGGATATTAGCCCCTTGGAAAAAAAATGTTTGTTGCAATTTGCTCTTTGGCTACAAGGTCAAATCTCAGTTTATCCTTATCGGACCTTAAAATGTTTTTGAAAAAACTTAAAACTTCTCTTATTCTAACTGAAAGAAAACAAATAAGGCTTTCTCCAGAAGAAAAAATAATATCAGACATACTGTGAAAATTTCCTTTTGTTAAACATTTTTTGGGAATTATTGAAAAAAAAAAAACGGGCTAATAATTCTCACTGTAATATTATGTAAACATGACACTCAGCTGAACTCGCTTTGAGTGATATGTAGAAAATGAAAGTACACATGTGCTGAGGTAAAATCATAATGAATAATTATAAATGCGATCTATGAATCAAACACTTAAGAATTGATCATCTGGATAATCTATTAATAAATAATTAATTCAGAGTTATTTAAATGCTTTCACTTGTTACATTTTCAGTTTAATTCATCACTCACATGTAATGTCAAGAGACCGGCACAATAAGAGGAGTGTAAACTGCACAGGCTCAATGCTGTAATGTGTGAAGAAGTGTATCGCAACTAATCCTCTAATGATGTTCATGGTGAATCAACTCTCTAAATGATGTATCACTTATTTTTGTCTTACTTTTCAGACCTGGATGTGAAGGACGAGAAGGTCCCTCGGAGAGTTCATAAAAAGGAGAAAAGTTATTTATGCTCTTGGTGTGGAAAGAGTCTTACACAGCAGTCGAGTCTAAAAATACATGAGAGGACTCACACCGGAGAGAAACCTTATCCGTGCACTTTGTGTGAGAAGAGTTTCATATGTGCTTCACATCTGAGGCATCACACGATGGTCCACACTGGAGAGAAACCACACAAGTGTGATCAGTGCAGCAAAACGTTTGTTAGTGCTTCAGAGCTGAAGGACCATCTCAGAGTTCATAGCAAGGAGAAGCCTTTCTCTTGTTATTTGTGTGAAAAGAGTTTCAACCATCGGTCAAATTTAAGATACCATCTAAAGATCCACTTTGGTGTGAAAAAGCATGCGTGCCTTGAGTGTGGGAAGACTTTTGTTAGAGCTGGAGAATTGAAGCAGCACCAGACGACTCACACTGGAGAGAAATCGTTCACATGTCCTCAGTGTGGGAAGGGTTTTACACAATTATCCAATATTAAAAAGCACATGAGGATCCACTCTGGAGAGAGACCACACACGTGTGATCAGTGCAGCAAAGCATTTCTCACTGCCTCAGAGCTGAGGATCCATCTTAGAGTTCATAAAAAGGAGAAGATGTAGTCATGTTGTCTGTTTGGAAAGGTTTCGGAAAAGGTTTCCACAGGTCATGTTATGGTTAGTCTAATCCACGGTTGGGCAAACTCGGTCGTGGAGGGCCGGTGTCCTGCACAGTTTAGCTCCAACTCTAATCAAACACACCTGCTTTATAGATTTCTAGAGATCTCAAAGACACTGATAAGCATGTTCAGGTGTGTTTGATTAGTGCTGGAGCTAAACTACGCTGGACACCGACCCTCCAGGACCGAGTTTGTCCACCCTTGGTCTATTCCTTTTTATTTCTTTCATAAGTGAAAGTGAAAGTGATGCTGTTAACTAAGCAAAACATTAACTGGCAGTCATCTGTACCTGTTAAACACAGCAAAACCTTTCAGGATAATATAAATTTAGCACTGTCACCTCACAGCAGGAAGGTCACTGGTTTGAGTCTCTGCTGGGTCAGTTGGCATTTCAGTGTGGAGTTTGCATGTTCTCCTCGTGTTGATGTGTGTTTCCTCCACAGTGCAAACATTGTATCAACCAAATTGGCCGTGGTGTATGAGTATGAATGAGAGTGCATGGATGTTTTCCAGTACTGGGTTGCAGCTGGAGAGGATGTGTAAAACATATGCAGGAATAGTTGGTGGTTCATTCCGCTGTGGCGACCCCTGATGAATAAAGGGACTAAGCCAAAGGAAAATGAATGGATGAATAATACTTTACCTTCAAAATGATCACATCAGAGACTAGATTTTAAAAAGCAGTTTATAAAACTACCATCAAGCTACCAGATATGGGAGCGGGAGCACTTCACAGCCACAAAAACTGTTAGTTCCTCTGTTTTTATTCAAATTTAAAGTATATTATTCACTGTTGTTCTCATAGTGATTCTCTCATATTTAAGTCATTCGAAGTAATATTGAAGGGAATTCAAAATAGCCATACTAATATGCAAAGCACAACAGCGACTTGTTTTTCACTTATTAAAGTTCATGGAAATATTGCGTATGTGGTTTAAAGTGGGAACCCCTGTCCTGAAGATTTTGCAGTTAAACCTTTGTATGCTAAAGAATTCCAGTCGTTTGTAAATAAGTTGTAAGTAGGGCTGTGGCGAGATGTTAACTGTGTCGATGTGGTCAAAATGATCCTCACTTTTTTTTTTTGCTTGTAGAAAGATATAAACAATAAACGCAATAATCATTTCATTTCTGTCTTCTGTTCGTGGGTTTCTTTCCAAAACACTTGAAATAAAACTTGCAGATTCGCTTTTGAGCTTTCGTTCTGCAGCTGCAGATGTAGAATCCTGTTGTTTATCCTCACCACAACAGACTGGTTTGCAGGCAGTAAATCATGGATGCTATTAATCCAGACAGCCACACCAGTACACATCCTTTGCATCGATCATATCTCTTTAATTCCAACAAGAAGTTTTGAATAAACAAACACAGAATAATCTTTTATTTTTAACATGTACACTTTAAAAAACCCAAAGATTTATTTATGCTTTAAAAAACTGGGTACCAACCAGTGGTGCCTGCAGCCGTATGGCTGTACACACTGTGCATAACTACCAAGAGAGGGCGGGACTTAATGCCGCTTATTTATTTATTTGTTACACAATTTAAATTTATTATTGAACCGTATGCTCTACGATATATTGACAAAGCAAGAAAGAATGACAAATAAAGGTGTGTGTTTGTGTTTTTAAAAGTGTATGTACTTGCATGGTGGGAGAGGTAAAGAAATCTATTGCCTTTAGTTTTGCTGGTGGTTTTTCCGCACGCTAAAAATGACAATTTAGATAGCTGTTGTTTAGAACAAGGTTCAAAATGAGTAAACTCTCTTTAAAACATAAACATAATTGAGACACTTGCCTAATGGCCTAAAACTAATGAGACAAATACTGCAGTCTAATAAGTACATGAGCTGGGCAACACAATCTCACGATAATTCGTATCTTTTTGATTTAGTGGCTAATTCGTATGAATTTGTACGATCTAATTCGTACAATTTAGTACGATTTGCTCATCCCCCAATGACGGTTGGGGTTAGGTGCCATGACTTCTTTTTAAAATCGTACATTCTCTTACAAATTAGCCACTAAACTGGTAAAACGTAAAATACTTACATTTTCTTGTGAGATCAGGCTGAAGCCGGGGAACTGTCTCTTTCATCAGACAGATCCGATTCAGCTGCTACGCCGCCTCCTCGCATGGAATGGTTACCATTCAATGTGTTTAAAACTATTTTATCTGACAGACTGGCATAAATAAGACGACATCTCCATTCTCACAATGAGTTTCTGAGTTTTCTCACTCTTCCAACCGAGTTTGTTCACCAAGGTAATGTGGGAACATGTTCAGTGCTGTACTTTGTAAATGCCTGTCCTGCTCATTCTAATTATTTAATTAAATTAATTTAATTGTAACTGACCAGCGCAACATGGAAAACAGTTTAATATAGGCTTCTCTGAAACTGAATATTTCACTTTAATTTTATTAAGGCTAGATTATTATTTTATTTGACAATCCAGTTCGTGATTTGGCGTTGTTTAAGCATAGCAGATTTGAAGCACTTCACCTCAAGTGTGATTCGTTCTTCTATCTTATCCAGAAGATAACTGACCAAGAAAAGTATTTAACCCCTTCAGACCTGAATTATGTTCCAAATTTCAGAAAAATGGGATGTCATGTGATGTCCATTGTAATGGACACAGGGTCTGAAGGGGTTAAACAAAGAGACAAACTTAAACGAAATCCATTTAAAAATATATATTTATCCTCGAAAAATATACAAATTATATTTTTGTTTAAGGCCATCCAGTACTTAACTGTGCGGGTGAATTTTCGGTCATTGGAAAGTAAGGATTTAATTAATGCTTCACTAATTGTATTGAATCACAATCTTCTGTCATATATTTGCAATTTTTTTCATAATTTTGAAGATTACGTCTTGAGCGGCTGATTTTTCCTTGATGCTGATGTGCTTTTATTACATTTAGATTTCAACGAAATATTAAAATTAAAAATGAAACGTATTATGTCAAAACAAATGCCGTTATATAATGTAGCATTTGACAGTAAGCATCAGTGTTTTTTACGATTAGCGTAAGGAGGCGGGGTAGTGCTGGATTTGTGCGTACCTTGGAATAATCCTACAGGCGCCCCTGATACCAACTACATAAAATGTGATACTTTTTTTTCTTTATTTTTTTCAGCTTTTATGGATTTTTACGAATCATCTTGTAGTACTTTGTTATAAACATTTGTTTATTGATAGTAGTTAGTCAGTAAATCTGTCATTCATGACGTTTATCTTTTCATTTTGTAATTTTAACTTTTAAAGTGCCTTATAAACAGTGTTTCACCTCTCAAACGATTGAATAAAGTGGCGTTTTGTCTACATGTAGAAATTGTTTAGGCAGCGTTTTGGAGCTTTTTTGTTGATCCACTGTTGCTCCCGCCTCTCAGTGATGACGTCAGCATTGACGTGTTCATTCAGCGTCGAGTCTTCAGGGCTGAGGTGAGTCGTTGACGCTTTTTCTCGTGTTTACACAACAATAAAACACACTTTACAGTTTATTAAAGCGACAATCTGCGACTAGTTTCTGCATTGAGTTCACCTCTATCTGTGTGTCTGCTGACCAAAACAATACAGCAGGCGGAGAGGAGCTCTGAGGGGAAATATGTTTGTGTTTTTCCACATATTTTTGTTCGTTTTTTGACGTTTGGAGTTATAATATTGCAAAAATGTATATGATAAATGTAATACTAAGCTAGTTTGGCAGATATATCAATTAACAATGAAAACTTTGGTTTCATTGTCAATTGTTTTGGTCTCTTGTCAGTTTCTTCACATGCAACTTAACGTTGGATATGCTAGCAATGTAGCTTCTGTTTGGTTATGAACACTTAGCTATTTAAACTATATCAAGATTTCTATGCACACACAAATGACATTAGTGTAATTCGTTTATCATCCAAACTAGTTACTAGTTATCGTTTTCAAGGTATACCACGGTTTGGAAAAGTCAAGGTTTTAAAACTGCCAAAATTTTCTGTAATACCTTTCCAAAAGTATGTGTGCCATTTTTTTATTTACATTTTTTTTAAGACAACATTATCTTCAGCGGAAAATATATCCATAGATGCAGATTAACGTTTAAAGACATCAATGTTTTTGAAACTAATGAAGACAGGAGAAGTCAATTCATTTGAAATATATAGTCTTTTAATAGTCTATATTGTTTTCAAAGGGGGAAAAAGGGTTTGTTTTTTACACAGACATTTAAAAAGAATATATTTTAAAACAGTAATCACAATACCGTAAATCCGTGATATTTTTATCCGAGGTTATCATACCGTCAGGATCCCACACCAGCTCATGCCTACTCCAAACACTCCATATAAAATGAGCTGATCTGCTGATCCTGAATGGCTGTTTGATAAGTGTTTATAGTCTAAAGCTCATCAATATTTTATTTTTCATTCATTACATTGATGTCTTCAGATCAGCACAGGGTGAAGATGTGTGATCCAGAACCCTGCCGAATTAAAGAGGAACAGACTGAAGAAATAATAGGTTTGTGGTTATTCATTACTCTTCAATAATCAGCCTGAAGAACAGTGAGGTTGTAAAGCTTTAAGCATTTCTTCAGATTTAGTTTGCACTGTCATGCCATGCTAGAGCGACATCTGCTGTTTATAAACTTAAAAACCCGCCTCTTATAATGACCTCATTCACTCATTTTCAGATGTGATAGTGAAGGAGGAGAGTGAAGAACTGAGTGAGGATGAGGAGAAACATCAGGTCAGTAGTGAAATCAAAACTCCTAATAGTTCTTTGATGAAAATAAACACCATAAAAGGTTTCACCTGCACTCAGTGCGGAAAGAGTTTCAGCCAAAAACACTCTCTCAATGCTCACACGAGGATCCACACTGGAGAGAAACCGTACCAGTGTTCACTCTGCGGCAAGAGATTCAGTCGGTCAGGACACCTGACAAGACATGAGAGGACTCACACTGGAGAGAAACCGTGCCACTGCACTGCTTGTGGGAAGAGTTTCTCGGGTTCATGTTCGCTACGGAAGCACATGAAGAACATTCACAGTAAGTAGATCATCGAAAGTCATACGTTTGACACCCCTGCTATAGATTAGATTAGATTAGATTCAACTTTATTGTCATTACACATGTACAAGTACAATGCAACGAAATGCAGTTTAGGTCCAACCAGCAGTGCAATAGCAGCAAGTGCAGGGTACAGGAATAAGTTATACAGTGCAGTTATAGAAAAGATTGATAAACATGATGACAAATGTGCAGTGGGTATGTACAGTTCAAATAAGTCAATCAGTGCAATGAATATGTGCAGATTTTAAATGTGCAAATGTTAAACAGTGCAGTGATTGTGAGGAGTATAAGTTAGAGGGGACTGGGGGGTGTATTGGGGGGGCAATAGAGTCAGTGGGATAGGAGGTCACACACCAGAAGCGCCGCTCCATGCGTTTTAGAATTCTAAACCTAGGTTTCTATCAGGGTACACTAGGGATGTAACGGTATCCGAATTTCACGGTACGGTAATACCTCGGTATGAATGGTACGGTATTTATTGAGTAATTTACAGCAGGGTTTTTCAAAGTCTAAGACAGTGCACACACACACACACACATATATATATATATATATATATATATATATATATATACAGTATATATATATATATATAAAGACAGACAGATGTCAGACTGTTAACTCACTTTTATCATCATTTGCATGAAAGTGCAATAATTTACAGAGTAATAACAAGTATTTTAATATAACGTTTTTAAAACTAGGATGATGGTTCAATATGAGTAGAACAGATCCAAGAACTGTCCATCCCAGTCAAAACAGTCGAAGTTTAGCGGGTCTCATGCTGTCATTAGCCAAAATATCTTGACAAACCACACATAAAGGTCGTGGTTCATCAGCTGGTCCTGTCCACGTAAATCCTAAACTCAAACACTGATCATCATATCGTCGTCTTTTGGGTTTAAGCCCTGAACTTGAAGGCTTTGAATCGGGGGGTCTCAGAAACCGATCCATTGTACTAGCAGGCATATACCCGTGTTGGCGGGCTTGCCAAACAGAAGCGAATTCACAGCTATGGCCTTCTGGGTAAAAAAGGTTTTCTTATTTTGGACGTATTATTTTTTTTTCCTTTGTTTAATTAAAACGTTTAAATAAAATAAAAATACTTATAATAATTAAACTTAATAATTATGTTTTTATTATATAATATTTTTTTCCCGCGCCTCCCCTGACATGCTCTGGCGCCCCCCCGGGGAGGCGCACCTCACACTTTGAAAACCCCTGATTTACAGGAAAGCAAAACTAATGAAAAGACTCGAAAAAAGTGCCAAAAGTGTTTATTTACCTTAGCACTGAACATATCAATGACATACAAATCAGCCGTCTATCTGTAAGTTTTGAAACAAGAACTTCAATTTTTCAATTTTAATAACAAAAAAACTATTAAACCATGTAGAAAAAATAAAGTTTCAATTTAGAATTGTTGAAAACTCATCACATTCAACATTTAATCACTCACTCACTTGGATAGAGGTAGGTTTTTTAAGGAAAATTATCATATAACTATAATCTGGTAAAAGCTGGTATCTCTGAGCATTTACAATGTCCCCTGCAACAGAAAAAAACCCTCTCATTTGGGACTGAGGTTTCTGGGACAGAGGGATATGATTTAGCCAAGGTTGACAGCAGTGGGTAACGTTGTGCATTGTCTTTCCACCACTTGAGAGGACAAGCCATGAGTGAGATAGAGATCTCTTTGCGGTACAAGTCAATGTCTGCATCAATCTGAACAGTGTGCTGTGTTCTGCAGTCCCCATGACTGTTTTTAGCCGTATTCCCCGACTTATATTTCACCACAGTCTGGCAGTGCCTGCATACTGTTTTTTTCTTTGTCTGTCACCTTTTCTCCTTTTTCATATCTTTTTAGAAAGAAACCGAAATTCTTCCACACATCCGATTTAAAACCCTCTTTAGGTTCACACACTCCATTTCCGGATTACTGGATCTGTAGCAACAACAGACCGTAAAGGATGATGGCCACGCCTAGGCTGATGGGAATTGTAGTTCCCGCTACCTCCCGTTTCCTTCATTCGCCTGAGCAAACTTTTATCAGAAATATAGTTTTATTGAGTCATGCGAAAAAAAATTACTATTATGGTATGATGGTATTTACAATATTGTTACATCCCTAGGGTTCACACATCGGCACTGCAAGTCGGCGGCTGTCCGTGGCGCCCGACCACAACTCAGGACAACTTTTATATTTTGCCGCGCCACAGAGCGGCATCTGATTAGTTTCCTTTTAAATAGCATACGAATGTGCGCGTCCACCACAATCTCACGACAATTCGTAACTTTTTGATTTAGTGGCTAATTCGTATGATATCATACGATCTAATTTGTACAATTTAGTACGATTTGCTCATCCTTAATGAAGGTTGGGTTAGGTGCCACACCTCTTTTTTAAAATCATACAATTTCGTTCGACTGAACTCGTACAAATTTGTACGATTTAACCACTAAACTGGCAAAACGTAAAATACGTTTTCTCGTGAGATCAGGGTGGCGCGTCTGGTGTGCGATACTTTCAACTGTCATGTTCGCGCCATGTCGCAGTGCATCCTGAGTGTGACACCCTTACAGCAAAACGAATCCTTTAATGATGTTCATGCATAATTACTGTCTAGAGGATTTATCGCTTATATTTTTTCTCATTTTCAGACAAAGCCCCGAAGGTCCGAACACAGGAGAAAACAAACTCATGCTCTTGGTGCGGAAAGAGTTTTACACACGGTTCAAGTTTAAGACGACATGAGAGGACCCACACTGGAGAGAAACCATACACATGTTCTCAGTGTGGGAGGAGTTTCATTCGCTCATCACATCTCAATCGTCACATGAGGATCCACACTGGAGAGAGAACACACAAGTGCGATCAGTGCACCAAAGCGTTTTTCACTGCTTCAAATCTGAGGATCCACCTTAGAGTTCACACCCAGGAGAAGCCCTTTTCATGTTATTTGTGTGGAAAGAGTTTTAACCATCAGTCACATTTAAAATACCACCAGAAGATCCACACTGGTGTGAAAGATCATGTGTGCCTTGAGTGTGGGAAGACCTTTTTTAGGGCTGGAGAACTGAAAGAACACCAGAGGATTCACACCGGGGAGAAACCGTACACATGTACTCAGTGTGGGAAGAGTTTCACACATTTGTCAACTATTAAAAACCACATGAAGAACCACACTGGAGGGAAAAAACTAAATGTGATCAATGAAGCCAAGCATTTTGAGGCCTTCAAAGCTGAAGAGACATCTTAGTGTTCCTACAAATGAGAAGAATTGTTCATATTTTTTGTTTGTGACCATTTTTCCTGCTTGTATTTAAAATGACGATTAGGTTAACTATGTTTACGTTCATTTCCCATCATTCTATCATCATCTGAGGTAAACTCACTCACAGCATGGTAAATCTCTGGCCTGTATGATGTTGAGTGCACCAATAGCCTAGTGGTTAATGCGTCGACACACTGCAGAATAAGATACAAGAGATCAAAAGCAAAACCAAAATGAAATGCATATTAAAAAAAGTTGAGAAATGAAGCAATAAAAAAATAAACATTCAAGTAGCTTAAAAGATCTCGTCATATTTGCTCAAGAAAGAAGCACACTTCTTATTTTCTAAATCTCTTAAGTCAGTGGTTCTCAAACTGGTAAAGTAAAGAAGTAAAGTAAAGAACTTTTATTGTCATTGTAGTTGTACAACGAAATTTGTTTGGTAACTCACAGAGACCAGCAGCAACATAAAAAGAGAGAAAAACAAACAATAGACATAATACTAAAATATAAGAGGCAAGATAAAGTATACTAAATGTAATAAGTCACATAAAAAAACAACAACAATAGACATAATACTAAAAAAACTGGTACGTGTACCACTAGCGGTACGCGGACTTCCTTCTAGTGGTTAACGGAGGAACGATATATGTCACGTACATGCTACATATATTTCGAAATTTATCAAAAATGATGTACATAATATGCCATATATACAGAACCCCGGAAGGGACATAGTGGAGGAGAAAAAAATTGGCTGGGTGAAAAAAAAAATGGGTGGGAGGAAAATATATATTTCTAAGTTTTTGCATTCTCTCGCAAAGTTTTGCGTTATCTTGCAAAGATGTTTTGTGTTCCCTCGCAAAACTGTTTCTCCACAAACACTTCCTGTTCACTTCACTCATGTAAACCCTCCCGTTTTTGCTGAAAAATTTAAATCATGTTTAAATAAGGACGATAAATAAAGAGTAATGTTATTCCAAAGATGTTTAATGTGAGTGCAACTATAGAATAAGTAAAATAAAGTCTCTTCATGTATATTGCAGATCGTACACAAATTAGAGCTATCAAAATAACTAGCAATTTGGGAATTTGTAGGATAAACATTATGCAAGATCTCTTATTTTGTTGGATTTGCTGAAATTTTCAGGTAATAAACATGCTCTCTTTCATTGAATGCAATCAGAAAACTTGATCCAGAAAAATTAACGCTTTTGACCTCCTTTTTTACTTTATTTTATTATTTTATTTAATTTATTTTTTTTGCTTTTGACGACCCTACGTTTCTCCCGCCTCGCCGTGATGACGTCAGCACCGACGCGTTCATTCAGCGTCGAGTCTTCAGAGCTGAGGTGAGTCGTTGACGCTTTTTCTCGTGTTTACACAACAATAAAACACACTTTACAGTTTATTAAACCGACAATCTGCGACTAGTTTCTGCTTTGAGTTCACCTCTATCTGTGTGTCTGCTGACCAAAACAATACAGCAGGCAGAGAGGAGCTCTGAGAGGAAAGCATAAGATCTTTTTTTCTACGTAATTGTTACGTTTAGAGACGTATCCTCAGTATAAAATGAGCTGATCTGCTGTTTATTGTGTGACAGCTTATCAATATTATCAAAGCTGCTGAAATATTTTCCTTGAGAGATCTTTTTAATCCATTCATTATACTGTTGTATTCACATCCATAACAGACTTGAGTAATCAGCTATTTAATTATCTACAAGATATATATTTAGTATCTATAAGATATTTAGATACAACATTTATTTAATAAATGAGTGTAAATTAAGCAAATCTGTTTATTCTCTTGAAGCTCTGCCACAATCAATGACGCTCCACCTGCATTGAAGCTATAAATACTGGAATATTCCCATCAGACTATCAGGAAGAAGTGAAAGTGAAGGACAGTGAGAAGATGAGTGATCCAGAACCCTGCAGAATTAAACAGGAAGACACTGAAGAACTAATAGGTTTGTGTTTATTCATTACTCTTCAATAACGAGGATGAAGAACAGTATATTTAATCACACACACACACATCTGGCCACCCTTAATTTAGTACTCTCTTTCATCATCAGCAGCAAAACCCATCATCTATTTTGGACATATGTCAATGTTCATTTCAATTTAGAATCACTAACACGGTTGTTGATATGAGCACAGTAATTCTAATCAAATGTCCAATAATAATAACATTTAATGCTGAAGGCAGTGTTGAGAGGGACATCACATGCAGGCGGGGTGGTGGCCTTATAATGACCGAGAACAATGGGCAATATAAGAAAGTCGCTTGATCAAGTCCCGGCTGGCTCAGTTGGCACTTCTGTGTGGAGTTTGCATATTGTCCCTGTGTTGGTTTCCTCCAGGTGCTCCGGTTTCCCCCACAGTCCTGCGCCATAGGGGAACTGATTAACTAAATTGCCCTTAGTGTGTGAATATGAGTGTATAGGTGTTTCCCAGTTCTGGGTTGTGGCTGGAAGGGCATCCGCTGTGTAAAACATATGCTGGATAAGTTGGTGGTTCATTCTGCTGTGGCGATCCTGGATACATAAGACAAAAAGAACTGAATGAATGGTAAATATACATTAAAGATGTAAATATAGAAATGTTGGGAGGTTTGAATAAAAGTCTGGTGTGTCAGATGAAGAGAAGACTCAGAGTCGAAGATGCAATTAAAAATTAAAAATTTAGTGAAGATAGCTTGCAGTTCTATGGCAGAAGGGCTTCACACTCGGATAAGCTCGCAGGCCGATATGACTTACAGTTTCAACAATCGAACAATTATACTCTTTAAACAAGTCCAGAAAGGGTGGGATCCAGGTGAACAGTTCTCATTGGTTACAACAGAAATAGACAATTCTAAATACATGCGTCAAAGAAACATGGTATCTACTTCCAGATATGGACGGCCTTAATGCGTGCGTCAAAGAAAGCATTGTATCTGTCTCCAGATATGGATGGCGACCTGATGCCTAGAGGTGAGGTCGCCTTAAGTTATTAGGAGCTGATCTCCGACCTGTAAAAAGCTAAACCAGGAACACAATAGACACAAACGACCATCTGTGTTAAGGACTCAAGGATGTTTCTTGTACGTTCAGCTGTGTTATCAGGCTGGTTCAAGACTGTTTCCATCAACAGTCTGCTGCAATATCTTGGCTACACACAGTCTATCTCCACACAAAAAGGAATTACATTACTATTAATTATACTCAAAAACAGATCAATCAAACAGCTATAATATTATAGGCAATATCAGGACAATAAAACAGCTGTCTTCTTCTCCTCTGTATTGGACTTCCAGTCATAGGAACAGATGGAGAGAGAGAGAGAGAGGTCTCCATGACCTATGACCTGGTTTGTGTGTCTCCTGAAAACAAAGTTAAAATAGACAGGCAAAAAGAGAAACAAGGACACAGAACAGTAAGCAGTTTAACTTATTCATTAGTCAAATCAATTCAAGTTAAATACTCATTCAGATAATCAATTAAATATATATTCAAAGAGATGAGAAACATGATATTTAATAAAAAGGATAAACGCTGAATAAATGTTGATGGATTGGAAGGTAGAACTCCGACTCCTTCAGGATTAACACAGCAAAATCACTGATATGTGAAAAACCTCCACCTGCCAGAAGGGGGCGCTATGATGATAACAGACTATTGGCATGCAGATTATTTTCAGTGCACATCTAAACATCAATTCCAGTGTTTCCACTTGGTTTACAATTTTGGGGGGTGGATTAGGGCTGCGATGCGACCCAATGCAGTGTGGCTGTTCAGACTCACACTGACACAAGGAGTCATGTGCTGCGTCCCAAATCGCATACTTATGCACTATTCTACGCCATTTTGTAGTATAAATAGTGCAAGCTCTAAAAATAATAAGTGCACTTTAATTACCCGGATGATGCACTCATTCAGCTGCTAAAATGAAGTGTGTACTGATGGACACTTCACGCACTCAACGACCGCAGGTTTGCTTACGTAGCGGAAGGGGCGGAGCTATCGGGCGCACATGTTGGATAACTTTATTTATTTTGGATGGTGAAAGCAAAATTCTCCTATTATAGCGATATAGTGATTATAGCGCCTCCTGATGGTGAATGCGGTTATACTCACGGCAGGTATTATTTGATCATTCGGTCGTTATTTCACTGTTTTGGCAAACGTCATCAGGGAAACAGTTTGAATTTCCCCTTAGTAAAAAACCATTAGTGTGCCATTTGGGACGACACTACATACATATACTATCCTGTTGAGTGTGTAAGTGCATAAGTACATAGTGCATGAGTGCATAGTGTGCCATTTGGGACGCAGCTTTGGTCTTTTAATCACAGCAGTGAATAACTGAGCAACTATTTGAACTGTACTACCGTTTGTAAATTATGATTTAACATTCATCTTTTTTATTCACAAATTGTGCAGCTTTTGTCACTACAGTGTATCTTACAATGCAAGTGAAATGCTTGCACTGTTGAGCCTTGCGTCGTCTGCTTTTGGTAAACTGTTGAAGACTCGCCTCTTAAAATGAACTTGTTTACTTACTTTTCAGATGTGATTGTGAAGGAGGAGAGCAAAGAACTGAGTGAAGATGAGGAGAAACATGTTAAGAGTGAAGAAGAAACTCGGTCACAGACTGATTTCATCTGCACTGGTTTCATCTGCGCTCAGTGTGGAAAGAGTTTCAAGTACACATACACACTCAAGATTCACATGAGGATCCACACCGGAGAGAAACCTTACCAGTGTTCACACTGCGACAAGAGATTCAGCTATTCAGGACAACTGAAAACACACGAGAGGATTCACAACGGAGAGAGACCGCATCGCTGCACTGATTGTGGGAAGAGTTTCACGGATTCATCTTCCTTACAAAAACACCGAAAAAACAATCACAGTGAGTAGAGCGTCTACAGATCCAGCCATTACAGGTTGTGTAAGGGTGCTTTTACACCTACACTTTTGTTTCGGAACGTGTCTCGTTTGCCCAGTTTGCGCGGTTCGTTTGGCATATGTGAACTGGGCAATCGCGATCTGTTCCGCGCCAAAGTAATCGCTCCGAGATCGCTTGAATGAGGTGGTCTCGGCTCGATTGAAACGAACCCTGGAGCGGTTCGATTACAGTGAGAAAGCTACACGATCCGAGCGCGGTTATATCACAGTGTTTTATGGATATGTAATAGGCTTACGGCTATATGAAGAGAGAATTATGAGTATGGCGGGAAGTTTCACGAGTCTCCGGATGCCCGCAAACGAGTGATGATCTCCCGGTAATCTCGCGTCTCCCTCCCGGTCCTCAAATAAGCATCGTTGCGCACCCTTCTCACACCTCCCCACCGCGTCTCTCCTCAGACACGTCGCGCGCGCACCCTGTCAATAACCACCAAACCACCACCTCTCCTGACAGCTGAGCGGGACGCTGCTAAATAAACCCTGACACTCTGACCAATGTGAGGAGAGTTTACTCACACGTGACTTGTTTTAGCTCTTTTGGTCCGATTAGAAACTTTGCAGTGTGAAAGCGAACCGCTCCAAGAGCAAAGAGCAACAATGTAACAATTGTAATCTCTGTTTCGGAACAACTGAATCCATTCACAGGTGTGAAAGCACCCTTACTTAGCATAATTGTGGAAATGATAACATATACATGATGATAAAATACGAAGTAGGATGCATTTTCATGTTTTCCTTTGTCTTTGGATTGTGATGAGCTGTTTGTGTTTCTATATCATCCGTGAAGTCTAAAGCCTCGTTTCCACTGAGTAGTTCGGTTTAGTGCAGTTCGACCCTGATCAGCTTGTGTTTTCTCTGCTAACTGTTCACTTACTTTTAGGGTTTGACATTAGCTTACTTTCATTTAGTATTCAGCTGCTTGCTTTTGCTTGCGCTAACACATACAGTTGAAACCAAACTTCTGCATGTACACCTCTGCATGTGGATTTGGGAGGTTTTTGAGTTTGGGTTAGGCAAAATCCAGGTGGAATTCCCAAAATAGCACTTGAATTTAGGAGCTTAAAGATGCTGATTACTGTGTTGGCGTTACACTTGCGACAAGGATGCAGATAATATTTTGATTTATTTAAGCACACCCACAACTTCACTTCCCGAACTGATGAATTTACTGGAGAAATTTGGTTCCTATGCAGGTTATAAATGAAACATACAAAAAACACAGACCCTATCTTTGAAATATACACCCCCAGTAACTCATTTATTCATTTTCTTTTTGGATTAGTCCCTTATTAATCTGGGGTCGCCACAGTGGAATGAACCGCCAACTTATGTTTTTATGCAGTGGATGCCCTTCCAACTGCAACCCATCACTGGGAAACATCCATACTAAGGGTGTCACGATTTCAATCGAAATTTATGCTCAACTTCGGTTATCGAATCAAAAAATAGAATCGTCGATGCTGCCACGCCCCCATGTCACGTCAGCTTGGCTTGGCAAGCGGGAAAATAACAGGCTTGTTGAAGTGCTTGTTAAACTGCAGACGCAGGAGACCCGTCGACAGAGCTTAAACCCTCTCCTCCTTCAATGAAGTCGCCGGTGTGGAAGCATTTTGGATTTCCAGTGAGTTATGTTGACAGCGTTCGTGTTGTCGACAAAAAAAACAGTTTGCAAGCTCTGTATTGTACGTATTACGGTTGGGATGATAGACGATGGGCGCATCGCGATTCTCCGCCCCGCACCCGTTGCAAATCTGCTCGCGAAAAATACACACTCAGGCCCTGTTTACACTAATATGTCTTTGTTTTTAAATGGCATTTTAGAACGACAACGATCCACATCCACAGTGGCGTGTAGCATTTTAGCACTTTCACACTAGTACTTTGTCATTTTAGCGAACACCTCAGATACTGTTGGCTGGTTCCTGTTGGTTGTGCGTCTTTTTTATCGACGCCATTATATCGTCACAGATCACTGCCTATTCACGAGTCCCGCAGAAAAAAGTGATTGACAGGTGGTAATTATTTGTGTAACTTACCTTTATTCATTTACTGTATGATTTGTTTATGGGTAAAACAAAGATCACGCAGGTCAGGTAGTTTAAACGGTAGGCTACCAATAATTAATTCGTTATTAGTTAATTAATTATTCATAATCGAAAATTGAATCGAATCGTGACTTTAGAATCGAAAATGTAATCAAGTTGAGGATTTGGAGGATCGTGACACCCTTAATCCATACACAATCATTTTCACACACACACTACGGTCAATTTTAGCTTACCCAATTCACCTGTACCATATGTCTTTGGACTTGTGGGGGAAACGGGAGCACCCGGAGGCGACCTTCTTGCTGTGAGGCGAACGTGCTACCAACTGCGCCACCGCATCGCCTCCATTAACTATTAAAGTCAAATTTAATCTGAAATGGGAAAAGAAATCATTGAAATATTTTGAAATTCAAGCAAAGAACAAAAGAAATGTCAACATTAGCCAAAGTAAATTATGATCCTCTACTAATAAATGTAAAAACTTTATACACAGATGAAATGCCATTTCTTTCCTGAGCTTCAGTCAAAGAATTGACGCATTAAGATTGCACGTCCTTCCTCTATCTTTATTTATTACAAAGTCTCCTTATAGAAATATCCCAAACACATTGGTCAGAATTGAATAAGACCCTGTCTAGATTCATTTGGCAGGGGAAAAAAACTAAGGATTAAATTAAAAAAAACACCTGCAACAAGGTTCACACTGCACGATTTTAACCCTAATTTTTGTTCCTCGAGAAGTTTTAGTAGAACTAATCCCTTAAGGATGTCCATGCTTTATCCACTATCTGTTAATATATATTTTTTCCTTTTCAGATCTGCTTGTGAAGGAGGGGGTGAGTGCAGAACTGAGCAAAGCCAAGAAGGTCAATCGAAGCGTTCAAACAAAGAAGCAACATTCATGCTCTGTTTGTGGAAAGAGTTACGCAAATAAACAAAGTTTAAAGCTACATGAGAGGACTCACACTGGAGAGAAACCGTACACATGCAGTCAATGCGGGAAGAGTTTTGGACAATTATCAAACCTTAATCAACATATGAAGATCCACACTGGAGAGAGACCACACAAGTGTGATCAATGCGGCAAAACATTTTTGAGGGCTTCAAAGCTTAAGGTCCATCTTAGAGTTCATACGAAGGAGAAGCTTTATTCTTGCACTGAAAGTTTTACAGCTCAATATGATTTTAAAGGACATCAGCAGATCCAAACTGGTATGCAAGAGTTTGTTTGCGAGTGTGAGAAGACTTTTACTACAGCTACAGAATTGAAACGACACCAGAGGATGCACATTATAGAGAAACCGTACAAGTGTTCACACTGCGACAAGACATTCAATTATCCAGGACATCTGAAGGTACATGAGAGGATCCACACTGGAGAGAAACCATTCACGTGTGATCAGTGTGGGAATAGTTTCAGTCAATCATCACACCTCAATCAACACATGCTGATCCACACTGGAGAGAAACCGCACCAATGTGATCAGTGCGGCAAAACATTTTTGAGGCCTTCAGAGCTGAGGAGCCATCTTAGGTTTCATACAAACGAGAAGCCTTATCCATGCTCTGAGTGCGGGAAGAGTTTCACACATCGGTCACATTTAAGAGCGCATGAGAAGATCCACACTGGGCTGAGAGAGTTTGTGTGCTTTGCATGCAAGAAGACTTTCGTTAGAGCTGGAGACTTGAAAAGACACCATGTGATTCACACTGGAGTGAAACCATACAAATGTTCAGACTGCGACAAGGGCTTCGGTCGTTTAGAATACCTGAAAGCACATGAGAGGACTCACACTGGAGAGAAATCGTACACATAGTACATAGTGTGGGAGGAGTTTCATAGAGTTATCAGAACTTTTTAAACACATGAAGGTCTACAATTG